CAAAAGGGATTTGACTAGGCTTATAGAAGAAGAAATAATGTAATTAAACACCCTTCTTTTCTTAGCAAGAACATTTCTAACCATAGCAGCTGTTCCCAGGCCCCTTCCAGAGGAACTGTACACCCCTCCTCTTTTCCAGAATTCCCTGCCAGTTTCACCAGGTTTTAAAATATGGTTAATCGGTTTTGTACTTACATACCAAAGTTTTGTAGTTCAGGACCTTTTTTGAATGTATGAACAGTCCAGTCCATCCCCTTAAAAGAACAACGAACAACCCCCCCCACCCCAATCTCTCCCTTCCCATGGACTATTCAGAGGCGAGATTCAGTTTAGGCACCAGCTTTGCAACGTATGGATAGAACATAAGGTCCAGAAAAACATATTCTTAAATGTGTGGGACAGGCCAGTTACTATAAAAGGAGGCTGTTGGGCTGTCAACTAGTAGGAGAGATGTCTGCACAAACTCATCACAGAATACGCCTCGGCAGGTTCCTGTGCTGACAGATGTGATCAACTTTGGAAGCAGAGGCCTTCCGGAACTTTTACTCACTGTGTGTGAATGCTCATGCACGTGTGTGTGTGTGTGTACGTGCATTCACGCACACAAGTATGAGTTTGTGTGAGATTTTTTTCTCCTAACCCCATAGTTTTTTAGGGCCCTATGATATTTTTCAGGAACTAGTATTTATAGAGCTATCCTCCTGTGGAGGCATTGGAGAAGAGCCCTGAGCCAACGGGACCTCTGCCTGGCAGCACCCCAGAGTTGTCAGTTAGCTTTGCTTTCCCTTCTGCACACTCCAGTGTTCTTCACTTGCATTGGGATCACCTTCATCAGGATCACCTGGGGTTTCTTTTCTAGCACATTCCTGGGTCCATTCCCCCTGGACAAGGCACACAGTTTCTTACATCCCTGAATCTTCTGAGATGTACTGCCATGGACTCTTGCCACAGCCTCACCCTGGGTGCCACCCAGCTGGCACCCACCCAGTGGGTGCCTTGAGCTCTGGGAGGGGCTGTGGGGGTGAGGTAGATCCCACAGACAAGACTTAGACTTTCTCCCCCCACCTCTAGTCCATTTAGGCACCAGGGCAGCCCCTCACTAGTGTATTTTATATACTTAGGAATAAGGAGATGATTTCAATTGAGCAAAAAATCTGCTACGAAAAATTGATAAATTGAAAACCATTGTCTTTGAAGACAACAGAATTAGAACCATTTAGTAGCTAAAACTAGGGGTTGCAAACTCAATGCTTGCGGGTAAATTAGATAAGTGAGACAGTGAGAGTGGGTTCTGGGGAGACCTGGAGGGAACATGCTACAATTGGAGAAGGAAGGCAGTTATATCCATGGGAATTTTTTTTAAAGATTATTTATTTATGCATACAAGAACTGGGGTACAGGCCAGAGGTGTGTGTGTGCGGGGGGGGGGGGGTTGAGAGGATTCACCAGAGACAGAGTGGGGAACAGAACAGGCAGACTGACTGAAATACACTGCTGAGGGGAGCAGCGGGAGAAACAGGAGAGGTCTGCTGTGCCATGTGGATTGCTCCCTGGCTGGCCGGGAATTGAACTCATGCTGCAGTGACTGTGGATTGCTTCATAGGTTGTATCTTAACTCTTGCACCACCAGGGAGGCCCATCCATGGGAAATTGTAACCATAGTATATTCAGATCTAAGTTTTTTAGAGAAACTGGAATTTGGGATTTTGTGTGGAATCTGGAGCTTGTGTGACATAAGATTTGGATGGGAGAGGCAGGCACAGTGCCTCACAGAACCAGAGACTCCAGCCAGTCCTTCTGAGTTTAAATTCCGGCTCTCCCTCCTAGCTGTGTGACCTTAGGCAAGTTACCTAACCCTTCTGCGTCAGCTTCCTTATCTATACAACAGGGTTAATAACAGTACCTGCTTCTGGGGCTGGGATAAAGATTAAATGAGTTAATATATGTGAAGGGCTTAAAACAATGCCAGTCACTAGCTAATGGCTTATTTAGTTATCTGTTGGCTCAATGTGCACAACACTCTGTGGGCTAATAGCTGGCCACCTCTAGCTCCAAGCCATTCTTTGTATCAGTGGCTCATGGGACAACCATATAAATTATCGTCTGAACCAGGACACTTTGGAGAGAGAAAGGAGGCTCTAGTCCTAATTATCCCTAGACAGCAGGAGAACATGACACTCTCCCAGACACACTGGGCTCTCTGGTCCTAAGTGCCATCTTTGTATATGGAAGACCAGTCAGTAGCTTAGGTCTGTAACCTGCTTAGCAAGGTCAAGTGCATGAGCTTCAAGTGAGGTATCTTGTGCACCCCTACAGCACAGTGTCTGGGAGTGGGCACTCATCCCTCTCTTTTTATTGAGGAAACGAGATGCAGAGAAGTTTGGGAACTTCTCCAAACTCATACCCTGGTGGTACCAGGTAGGTTCCAGAGCCTTGGCTCTTACCTGTACCCATCTCTATGGTGAGTGCAGCACAGTGCTGAGAATGTGTGCCCCCTTTTTGAAGGGGTAGCTGAGAGCCAGCGAGATGTGCCTTTGCTCAGCAAGCAAGACGGTGCTCCCACTGCAGGGCTGGTGTGTCACAGCACCGCTGAGCGTAGGAGGAGCTGTGGGCAGGCTGGGCAGGTGCATTTCATCAGCGCTGCCCAGAACTCACTGCAGCTGCTGGTGCTCCAACAGCTCAAGAGTCTCATGTGCAGTGAAAGCTGGGGAAAGTAGGTCCCAACTGAGTTAGTCTCTGGAGCCTGACACCTCCTCAACTGGTGCATCACCCCAGCCCCACAGACTCAAAGGGTGGCTGAGGGCGCAGTCCTAAGGAACCTTCTGAGAGGAGAAAGAGAACTAAAGAAGGGGAGGCCAACCCGTAGCCTCTGTGCTTAGAGCTGCCGTCAAGGCAGGAGCATGTGAAGAGCAGCCTGCCGTTGTCAGAAGTGTTGCTGCTGAGATGAAAGGAAGAGTTGGGAAACTCTAAAACTGACATTCCGGCAGAAACACACCTGGAAGTCCTCCACGGGCAACGGAGAAGATATATTTTCATGAAAATAGAGGAAACAGGATGTTCAAAATACCTCTTCCAGCCAGGACAGCAGGATGCAGATGACGGCTGCAGCGCCGTGAAGGCTACGTGGATGGCCTCACACTGTTTAAAAAGCTGCAGTTCGAAAGGTTTTTAGTCTTCAGAAATTAGTTTTAGAGAAAAAAGAATACTTTGCTTTGCATCTCGAGTGTCCTTGCCAGAGATTCAAAGCTGGGAGGGTCAGTGGTCTCGAGGGCCACGTGGTGGCCAAACCAAGGCTGGGAGGAGACGCTTGCTCCGAAAAGTGCCTTTGCTTCCATCGGCCTCGGGGATGGCACTTCTTAAAGGGATGTATGACCTGCCGATCTTGGGTGGGGAAGAGGGAGCTGTTCCCTGTGTTAATAACGGGGTGATTTCTTTTTCTTTTCTTTTTTTTTTTTTGAAAATGGTATTTTAGGCTTTATTTAGACAGATTTTTCTTTTTTTTCTTTTTTTTAAATTTTATTTTTATATTCCCCATACAATTGCAACAATAATGGGGTGATTTCTGGCTCCTCACCAGTGTCATTGACATCTCTTGACCTAAATGGAAATGCCCCGCTGGGACTCAGATACAGTCTGCGCTTCCTGCTACCTTGGTTTCTCCATCTGTAAAATAGGAAGACAGCGTTCTCCATCAGGTGTTGCAAGTCACGACTAGGAATGATCTCCTGGAGAAATCCCATGTCTTCTCAGCTACAGGCGGATGGACTCAGCCTTCTGTGATCCCACTGAAGGTTAATCTAGCAAATTTGTCAAGACTCTAAAGCCTTTTCATTCACTATTTTTTATCATAGCCCAAAAAAACCTAAATGGTCCATTTAATTGTGGGGGAAAACTCCAAATCTGGTTAGCCTAAGCAAACAGGAAATTGATCAGGAGGCTCCTGGCACCACTCACAGAACTGAAGGAACTACCCAATGGTGGAGGCTCGGGAAGTTTGTGTACTTATCTCTGGAGCAGCCCCCGCCACCTCATCCCTGGTCTCTCAATCCCAGATTTCAGATTCCTGGGAAGAGAGAACCTGATCAGCCCAGGAGGGTCTGGTGCTGAAAGGGGATGGTTATACAGTAGTCACTTGGTCACTAGGTCACTGCTGGTGTGACCAGCATCACCCACCATCGCACCCACCCAAGCACCGAGCAGCCACCCCTGTAACCACAACATGGGTTTATCCTATTCTGTTATCTCCCCTAAAGTTGCAAAGCAGCTGTTTGAAGGCCAAGGGACTCCTGGAAGACAGGCCTGTGTTTGATGTCAGAAAGGCCACATGACTCTGATGGATACCTGAGTCTGATAGAACCAAGCCCCCTTCTCAGAACACTTGATGATTTGATAAGTGCAGGCATCCTTGTTCTGAGCAAATGATTACCTGTCAAAGGTGGTCCTTGCCATGGGGGGCCCAAGGGCCTGAACATCTTGAGTTTACTTGGAATCCGCAGGTCCCTTCAGAGGGAGGGTGTACTGAGAGCAGCTGGCCTGAGAAAGATGGATGAGCAAGGTCTGCCCTGAGAAAAGAGGGGCCCTAGGTTCTCAAACATGATCTACTCTGGGGTAACTCTCCTTTCTCTGTCCTGCAATCAGCTGGGGGTTTCTCTTCTTCCATTCTTTAATCAGGGAGAGAAAGCAGAATTTGAGCTGAGAAGGTAAGAGATTGAGAAAGAGAAAAGGAATGACTTACTCAGTTTACTGGTAAACATGAAGCCAGGGTCCAGGCCAAAGGGAGAAGATTGGGTTTCTGGAGAAAAGGCCAAATCTGCAGGGGGTAGTTGGGCGAGGGCTGGGCTAGAGCTTGGAAAGCAAGGCCTCAAGGACAAGGCTGGAACTTAATGCGTCTACAGTATGTGTAACATACAGTTGCCTGCATGCTGTGTCTGCACAGTTTGCCCCCCTTGCCTTGATGTGGACACCATACCTACATCTCCCCTCCCTCTCTTGTTGAGCAGATGCAGGAGCTGGAGCAGAGGCTGCTGGAGGCAGAGCAGAGGGCAGAGAACGCAGAGACCCAGGTAACTGGGAGTGGGTATACGCAGAGGGGATGACCCAATGGTTATTTCTGGATACGTGGACACACTCATCATGGTGATGAGCTCCTTACAGAGACAAGGAGCTCCTTACAAATCAGCCTGTTAGACTGTCCAAACAAATAAAGGAGCATGGAGCTCGCTGTGGTCCTGAAAGAGTCTTTGAGTGAGGCCCAGTGCTGGGAGCATGTGTGTGCATTAGTCCACATAGGCTCAGTTGTGCTTTGAGTAGTAAGGCTGACATCCAGTGGTTTATCATGTTCAATTCTCATTCGTGGTGCCACTTCACTGATGGTTATCCAGGGAGTCTGCCTCTCACAGTGATTCAGGGATCCAGGCTGCGGGAGCACCCCATCTTCTAGCTGCACCATCTGGAACATGCAGCTTCTTTGTTGCTATGACACAGAAAGAGAGCTTGTGTACCAGCTCTTAAACATTTTGGCCCAGAAACGTGTCAGTCCTTCAGGGCTTTTGACGGGAACAAACTTAAGGCCATCTATCCACATGGGGGCTGGGAAACATGGGAGCACATGTGGACATTCAGTGAGCAGCAGATGTCTCTGCCATAGTGAGGGTGGAGCAGTTCCCCACCAGGGCTATCCTGCCCCCACTTGTCCCTGCTGGGGCCTCCAGAATTGCAAGGCCAATACCTGGCTATGCCTTCCTTGTCAATTCTTTTGCCCAGATGAGGCCTTAATAAATGGTCATTGAATGAATTGACCCCTGACCAGGTAGAGTCAAGTCAAGTCATAGACTCGCTCATCAGAAGCAGCCTGTCCTGTGTTAGTGGCCATTTATTTCTTCATCTACCTTATCCCAACCCTTTGAGATTTTTGAGATGATTGATACTTTTCAGGTGGGTGTGATGGAAGAAAAGGTGAAACTGTGCAATCTGAAGAATGTGGACTCAGCAGGCAGCCTGCACCAGAAGTACCAGGAATTGCTCAAAGCCATGGAAAGCAAAGATGAGCTCATCAGTCAGCTGGAGGCTCAGCTGGAGAAGCAGGTAAGGCCCATGTGCCATGGCGCCAGTGCTTGGCTTAGCACAGCCCCTCTGCAAGATCCCTCCAGTGATGGACACCTCACTCCATCAAGAGACCTTTCCTGTGGAGACTTCATTCCTGGAAGCTCTTCCCACTCACAGATGAGAAAGAATCAGGCAGGGCATGTGGTTGGAAAAGAACCTGAGAGGCAGACCAATCTGGGCTTGAATTCCACTTATGGCACCTGCTGCTCTCTGACTGGGCAGTTACTCAAGGTGCTGATTCTCACTTTACACATCTATCAAGTAGGCATCGAAATACCGCATGGGTTCTTGCGCACGTTAACTCAGGTAAGTGTGTATAGTATGGAACACGAGGTCAGTGTGAGTGTAAGGAGGACTTTTCCTTCCCAACCTTCCATCCTCACCTCTCACCTGCCCACATGAGGGATACCATGCTGGCCTATAGCGTCCGAGCAGCACACAGCTGGACAGACTGCTAGGTGGCCAGCATTTCTCAGTGAACCTGAATTTGCAGAGGCCAGAATTGCTACCCGCCTGTGGACAGCAAGAGCTCCCCTCTGAGCATGTGGAGACAGCCCCCGGCTCCTGCAGGGACATCTGAAACCTCCCCCTGCCAGGTCCCTAGGCCAAGCTTCCTCCCTTCTCGGTCTCATTCACTTAATCCTGTTCTGTTTCTCCCCACTGTCATTGGTCTCACCTGCCCAACTTTTCCCTGGTCCCAGGGCTCTGTCACATCTAACCAACAACCCCAAGTGTAACCAAAGGGCTTTTAATTCTCCACATGTACCTTCTCCATGACGGCCCCAGTGGTCCTGGTAGAAACTTCCACCATCCTGGGCACACTGGTAATCATTCATCGTCATTCTCCGAGCATTTCCTTTGTGCTGTATGCCTGTGTAGGTCGTGGAGCACCATGTGCTTCTGAAAAATCATGGGAAAATAGAATTTTAATTTTGTTTTCTCTCTTGAATTGTTTGTAGTTAGCAGTGACAGCCTCCTGAGGATGGGTGAGCAAAAGCTCCCCTGCTAAAGCTCAGGTGAGAAAAAAATCATTTTACAGTGATAATCAGGAGGTCAGGATCAGAATGAAAGAATACTGTCCTGCAAGTCAGTAGCCCGGGCTGTGCCAGAAACTGACAGCAGCAAGTCCTTCCACCCCTCTGGCTGCTGTTTCTACAAGGTATCAAACTAGGACAGGGGTTGGTGAACTTTTCCTATAAAGGGCCAAAGAGTAATTATTTTAGGCCTTGGGCAACTGCTTGACTGTGTCATTGTAGCAAGAAAACAGGCCTGGACCGCACCAGAGTGAAGGACCTGGTGGTATTATGACTGCAAAAATTGCCGTGGAGAAAAAAACTGGTGGAAGCTTAAATTTGGACTGAGGGCCATAGTTTGTCAAACTAGTACAAACTAGATGCTCATAAGGCCCTGGTACCCCTAAATACTCAGGGTCTGATAGGTTCCTGTCCCCTCCTCATATCCACAGACTCCCTGTTGAGAGCTCATGTCCACCATATTACAGTTGTCAGGTGGCATCGCCTCGAAGTGCAACCAGAGCCCTCAATGTTGGTCGCTCAACTCCTGGGTGCTCTAGTGACTAGGACACGGGCGGCCCCCCAGGGTTCCACTCCAAGCCTGCAAAGGTGCGAGGACCGTGAAGTGCCCACTCAGCAGGGTGCTCTCCCGACTGTTTTTTGCTTATTTGTAGATATACTTTTTAACACTGTGGAGCATAAAAATGAAAACTTAAATGGCGCAGTCTCCATCTCTGGGTCCTGTTTTGCTTCTCAATGGAAAAGTCATGTTGAGTTGTAGCAATCAAGCAATAATTTAAACAAAAAACTAAAAATAATTTGAAATATTATCAGATGGACAAGATGTTGCTTCGCCTAAACAAAGCTGCACATGAACTTCAAACTATTATAAATTCACAATTCTGAAGAGCTGTTTAAAAGCAGGGAAATTTTTAGCCCTTGAAATTCTTGGGATACAAGGAACATACCTCAACATCATAAAGGCCATCTATGACAAGCCAACAGCCAGTATCATTCTCAATGGTGAAAAGCTGAAAGCAATTCCATTAAGATCTGGAACAAGACAAGGATGTCCACTCTCACCACTGCTTTTCAATATAATACTGGAAGTCCTAGCCAGAGCAATAAGACAAGAGAAAGACATCCAAGGAATCCACATAGGAAAAGAAGAAGTCAAACTATCACTATTTGCAGATGATATGATAATATACATAGAGAACCCCAAAATCTCCACAGAAAAACTAATTCAACTCATCAATCAATTCAGTAAAGTGGCAGGATACAAAATCAACACGCAAAAGTCAGTAGCCTTCCTATACACAAACAATAAATCTGAAGAAGAAGAAATCAAAAAAACCATCCCTTTTATTATCAAAACAAAAAAAATCAAATATTTGGGAATAAATCTAACAAAAGAGGTAAAGGACCTATATAAAGAAAACTATAAAACACTGTTAAAAGAAATAGAAGAAGACACAAAGAAATGGAAAGACATCCCCTGCTCATGGATTGGAAGAATAAACATTATTAAAATGGCCATCCTACCAAAAGCAATATACAGATTCAATGCTATTCCAATCAAAATCTCAATGGCATTCTTCAAAGAAATAGAACAATTATTGATGAAATTCATATGGAATCACCAAAAACCCCGAATAGCCAAAGCTCTACTGAAAAAAAAAGAAGGAAATGGAGGCATCACACTCCCAGACTTCAAACTATACTACAAAGCCATAATCATCAAAACTGCATGGTATTGGCACAAGAACAGACATACAGACCAATGGAATCGGATAGAAAATCCAGAAATAAACCCACAGATTTATGGTCAACTAATCTTTGACAAAGGAGCAAAGACTATGCATTGGAGCAAAGAAAGTTTGTTCAATAAATGGTGCTGGGAAAACTGGGTCGCTACATGCAAAAGAATGAAGCTTGACCACTACCTCACACCATACACAAAAATCAACTCAAAATGGATTAAAGAACTAGACATAAGACCTGAAACCATAAAATACATAGAAGGAAATATAGGCGAAACACTACGTGATTTGCACATCAAAGACATCTTTACAGACACATCACCCAAAGCAGTGATAGTGAAGGCAAAGATAAACAGCTGGGACTACATCAAATTAAAGAGCTTCTGCACAGCAAAAGAGACAATAACAAAAACAAAGAGAAACCCCACCAACTGGGAGAACATTTTTGCACCCAACACTAATGATAAAGGACTGATCACAAAAATCTGCAAAGAGCTGATGAGACTCAGCAACAACAAAGAAAATAATCCAGTCAAAAAATGGGCAGAAGAGCTAAAAAGAAACTTCTCTGAAGAGGAAATGCAAATGGCCAACAGACATATGAAAAAATGTTCAACATCACTTGTAATCAGGGAAATGCAAATCAAAACTACCATGAGATACCATCTCACACCAGTGAGAATGGCACATATTAAAAAAACTAGCAACAACAAATGTTGGCGAGGGTGTGGAGAAAAAGGAACTCTTCTGCACTGTTGGTGGGAGTGCAAACTGGTCCAACCACTATGGAGAGCTGTGTGGAGATTTCTGGACCTACTAAACATAGAGCTTCCATATGATCCAGCAATTCCACTCCTAGGTATTTACCCAAAGGACACAGAAACATTAATTCCAAAGAGCACCTGCACCCCTATGTTTATAGCAGCACTGTTTACAATAGCTAAGCTTTGGAAACAGCCCAAATGCCCAAAAATAGATGACTGGATCAAGAAGATGTGGTACATATATACCATGGAATATTACTCAGCATTCAAAAAAGATAAACACATGCAATTTGCAGCAACATGGATGGCGCTGGAAGGGATCATGCTCAGCGAAATAAGCCAAAATGAAAAAGAAAAATACCGGATGGTCTCACTCATAGCAGGAATCTAGAAAACTTAAATAAGGGACCAGGAAAATGAATATAAGAAAGTGAAAATCAAAATCAACAAAAAACTATGAACCAGAGACACTTTTTGGGGGGTGGGGGGCGGGAGGGGAAGGATTGGGGTCAGAATGGGGCGTTTGCAATTGTATGGGGGAATATAAAAATAAAATTTATTATTTAAAAAAAAATAAAAATAAAAGCAGGGAAATTTTTAACTTTGAAAACTTACAAAGTGTTGGCGTGTGTAGCTTTCTAAAAATTGAAAAATAGTCCGTGTTAAATGTGTCACGTTATAGTAAACACACTAATCGGTGTCTCCTTGATTATGTGTCTTTTCTGATGTTGTTGAACATCATCTTTATGAAAATTACTTTGGCGATGAGTAATGTGGGATTTTCAGTATGTTTCCATCTGATTTTGTTTCAATTCCTGTCCTACCACTACCACGCCAAGCTTCTTTTTCAGAGTGTCACACTGTTTATTTATATAAGCCGATATGAAGAAGCTTTGTATTTTCAAACAGATGACTACTCTGTGCACAGAAAAGTTGACTTCAAAGCAGTTCCAGTGCAGCTCACAGCAGATCTCTCAAACCAGTGTGCTTCCAAATAGTAGGGACTCCTAGCTTAGCTGGCCACTATCATGATGTAAATAAGGTGGATAGGAGGGCAACAAACCTTGCTTTTAAATCATCTCTTATCCTTTTGATTTTTTTTTTTTTGAAGAAATGCACTTTTGTACTCATGTAGCTGTTTTTTTTAAAATGTAATCTAAATACATGCTAACAGTAAAAAAATGCACAAAGACCAAAATGGGATAAAATGACAAGTAATATTTTCCCTCTATCTCCAATCCTTCATTTCCACTTCTTGCTGTTTTTGTTTTTTTTTTAAAGATTGTCTTTATTTATTTATGCATGTAAGAGCTGGGGTACAGGCCAGAGGTACGGGGGTGAGAGAGGATTCACCAGAGACAGAATGGGGAGCAGAACAGGCAGATGTACTGAATACACTGCTGAGTTGAGCAGCAGGCGAGACAGGAAAGGTCCTCTGCTCCTTGCCATGTGGGTCAGCTCCTTGGCTGAGGATGGAGCTCAGGTGGTAAAAGTGATAGACAGCACTGAGACATAACCCCTAGGCCACTAGGAAGGACACTCCACTCCTCGCTGTTAACCACTGTTCATTATGAACATTTCTTGTGTGTCAAAGCACAGCATTTCATTTTGTTTATTTAGCCAGCCCATGATTGGTAGGGTGTTTAGGTTATTTCCAGTTTTGAGTATTTTGGTTTTGTTGACTTATCAAATAATATTGCAAAAAATGATTCCTAAGCAATGGGCTTGTTAGGTGAATGACATATACATTTAAAATGTTGACAGATATGATTAAATTGCTCCTTCAAAAAGGCTTAGGAAGATCTTTTCCATTTTTAGAGTTAAAAAAAAAAATTAAATGAACTCTTTTTTCTATTGCTATCCCCTCCAGTTGCTTGATATTTCTTCTCAGGGCTTCCCACCGCTGATTATTCACTGCACCATGACTGCTGAGATTAACTAGAGGCCCTCTCTTGCAGAAGCAGATGAGAGCTGAGGAAGCAAAAATTGTTCAAGAAAAAGCTGCAAAGATCAAGGAGTGGGTGACAGTGAAGTTGGCCGAGGTGAGTGGAGGAGTATCGGGACCGGGTGTGAGAGCTTTGTTCTCACATCGGTGATTCTCCTGCCTCTGTGGTTCGGACTGGCCGTTGTTGTTAATCATTGACCCTTCATTCTGCTTAAATGCTAAGATGCTTCACTTACTTTTCCCATCTTTCTGTCTGGGTTGGATTTTCCCAGAGCTTTTGAGGGGCTTTGTGCTGTGTTTAATTTGGGGAGAAGGAAAGAGGCTCACTTTTGAAGAGTCACTGTCACTTTCCATCTGAGGTACCCACATAATTCCTATCTCCACATTCTCTTCTGTTCCTCTGATTCTTTAAAAAAAATTTTTTTGTGATGTCATAGACATAAAGTTGACCAGTTTAGTTGTCTTAATTTTTTTTTTAAAGATTTATTTATATATACAGGAACTGGGGCATAGGCCAGAGGTGTGGAATGGGGTAAGAGGATTCACCAGAGACAGAGTGGGGAGCAGAACAGGCAGATCTACTGAAATACACTGTTTTTTAAATATACAATTTGGGCCATTAAGTTCATTCACAATGTCATGCTACCATCCCCATCCTTATTCCCAAAATACTCAAACAGAAACTATATCCACTAAACACTGAGTGTTCTCTCTTCCCCAGCTTCCCCAGCTCTATGATAACCTCTATTCATTTATTTCAAAGTTCATCCCTGGTCACCACTTAATTTATTAAGAAACTCCAATCTAGAAGCTACAGTTCCCCAGGCCAAAAAAAAAAAAAAACAAAACTTTCTAAACAATAGGAAAGGGAATTAAAGAATGAACACTTAGCTTTCCTTCCTCTCTCTGACACAAGTGGTTCGCACCTGCAGGGAGCGTGGCCTCCTTTTGCATCCATCCCCCCCAACTCGTCTCCTGTGCACACACATCTCATGTCACCGGCAAGGCGACAAGTTCTGGGAGACAGAACTGAGGCTGTGGCCTCCGTTACCTCCATGTTCTACAACCTAACCCTTGCTAAAAGGTGCTCAATAAAAGTGTGTTGGATTTTGTTTCAAAGCAAGGGCAGTGGGCCTCCCTGGTGGCACAAGGGGTTAAGACGCAACCTGTGAGGCTTGCTGCAGCCACTGCAGCATGAGTTCAATCCCCAGCCAGAGAGCTACCCACATGGCGCAGCAGACCTCTCCTGACTTGCCCGCTGTTCCTCTCAGCAGTGTATTTCAGTCAGTCTGCCTGTTCTGTTCCCCACTCTGTCTCTGGTGAATCCTCTCACCCCCCACAACTCTGTCCTATACCCCAATTCTTGTATGCATAAATAAACAAATTTTTTAAAATAAAAAAGCAAGGGCAGCAACTTGAAGTTGGGTCTCACAGCTAGTCTGTTGAGCAAGAAAAGTCAGTGCAGAAGCACCTCCTCCACGCCAAGCAGCCCGACACAGGGCAGGTTGAATTGTGAGGGTCCAATCACTTGCAGAATATCTGGTCGTCAGACCATGTAAACTCAGCAGCAGATCAGTGCAGTACTGTGAATGTACTCTCCATTGATTTTCTTAATAAATTTCCTTTCTCTCTGATGTTGGATGTGGGGCTGAATTGAGGGTGCTGGTGCTGTGTGCATTTTTGATCCAATTATAGCTCTTCACATGGCTCCTTCCTCTATTGTGAGAATACAGTATATGAAACATATAATATATAAAATAGGTGTTAATCAATGTTATCAGTAAAGCTTTTGGTCTACAATAGGCTATTAGTAGTTAAGTTTTGGGGGAGTCAAAGCAATACATGGGTTTTGATTGCCTGGGACTCAGCACCCCTGCCGCCTGTGTTGTTCCAATATCAGCTGTAATCAAGTTCAGAGAGGGACACAACTCGATGAACATTGTAGGGATGTGTGCTTGGGTGGAAAAGCCTGGAAAGTAGAGAAGTGAGTCATAAACTTAGAAGAGTGGCTACCATGGTGGGGAGTGAGGGTGTAAGGATAGGTGGGGACATGTCTGGACACTGGCAAATTTTTATTATTATATTTTTTTTACACTCCTGTTGAGAACGGATTTTTTTTTAAAGATTTATTTATTTATGTATGCAAGAACTGGGGTACAGGCCAGAGGTGCAGAGGGTGAGAGGACTCACCAGAGACAGAGTGGGGAACAGAACAGGCAGATTGACCGAAGTACACTGCTGAGGGGAGCAGCGTGTAGGGCAGGAGAGGTATGCTGCAACATGTGAGTTGCTCCCTGGCAGCCGGGAATCGAACTCATGCTGCAGAGGCTGCGGATACCTTCATATTTATGTGCTTAACCCCTTGCACCACCAGGGAGGCCTGAAGACAGATTTATTGATGTAAGCAATCAACTAACAAGAATTAATTGAATAGCCAGATGCTCACAATGTAAGAAGTGGGAGCTCCTAGCTCGAAGCTTTCTCTCTAGTTAGCAGATTAAGCCAATAGGAAAGCACTGGCGCCCTGCTTTCTCTGGTGGCTGCTGCTAAGAGTTACGACCTAATGACCATTGTATAAGTTCCCATCATCAAGCTAACTCAGGCCTTTAATTCATGAGGACTTAAAGAGAAAGGCAGCACTATAATTGGGGTGCATTGTATTTTTTTTTAATTTATTTACTCTTGTCTTACAAACTTCTGCTTTCTGGGTAGTGGTGGTCACATGAGTATTCATTTCAGAGTCATTCATTCATCTGATCATTGATGTGTGTGTGGTTTTCTACAGACGTGCTGCATTTCACATTTTAAAAAAGGATGAAAAATAACTAGCAAAGAAAGCGTAGGAGCTGCCAAATGCAAGTCTGTCCCAACTAAAGCCAGTTAGCAGGAGGGAAGAGGTGAGGGCAGGACTCCCTGGAAGGATCAGCCTTGGATTGGGGGGGGCCCATGTGTTCCTCTTCAAAGATTTAATCTTTAAAAATAATTTTAGCCTTATTTTGAATTATATGTCTGAACCTAAAGGCTGAGTAGTCTAAATCTTTTTCTCTTTGCCTAGCTTGAGATGGAGAATCAGCACCTGAAAAGCTGTAATCAGCGCCTGGTAGAGCAAGTAGGAGCCCTTCAAGATGCACTAGGAGGTGAGCAGGCCAGAGGGGTGTGTGTGTGTGTGTGTTCGCGCGTGTGTGTGTGTGTGTGTGTGTGTTTAGGTGTGGGGCTGAATTAAGGGTGCTCTCACTATGCCTGTTTTTGACCCAACCACAGCTCTTCAGATGGCACCTTTGGGGAAGCTACTGGTGAACCCCCAGGGAACCCCAGAACAGGATTCTTCCCTTTCAAAGCCAGGAACCCGACCAGTGGGGCAGGACAGTGGCCCTCAGGCCCAGGGTGCCCTGAAGGCATCTCCGCCTGCATCTTATTCAGGTGCAGCACAGAGCAAGGACGCTGTTCCTAAAGCAGAAAGCCCATTGGCGGATTCTAATTCCAGCACGGTCCATTCCAGGGAAATACCGGAGGCCAAGACTCTTCCACCTCTAGGAAGACAGGGTTCTCCTTGCCAGTTGTGTATGAAACCTCACACCCCAAGACGTGGTTCAGCTTCCTGGGGAGAGGGCCTGGCCATCGCTCAGGGGGGCACATTCCCTGGGACAAAGACCTCTGTCAGGGAAGGTGGTCCTGGCAGCAGTCTGACACTCCCGAAGGTGCGGACTCCTGGCACCCCGAGGGACAGCATCCAGCTGGCCAAGCGGCACCACAGCCAGCCCCAGGTCAGCCCTGGGCACTTCCACAACATGGTGAGCATTGATATGGGGACCCTGTCGGCCCTCCACCCCTCCGGCCTTCCTGAGGTGGAGCCCCGAGCTGAGCCTCTGGAAGAACCAGAGAAGATGGAGATGGAGGATCAACCAGCAGCAGGGAAGAAGGAGGAAAGAGAAAGCTCAAAGGTCCCTGGAGCTGAGCTGGAGGAAGTGGACTCAGGGAACAAACCACCTACACCCCCCCTACACCGATTTCCATCTTGGGTAAGAGCCTGAGCAGCGGGGCAGAGCTGGGCACGGGCGTCATCCTCGGGGCAGCTCTGGGAGATCATCCAACGCCCTGCCCAGACCATCCAACCGCATGGGGCACAGCCAGGGTTTAGAATGCTCACAGGGTGCTGCTGTTCACCAGCCACCGAGCTGGTGCACATTTACCTTTAATCTTCTGATTAAACTCTGAGGTGGTGTGGTGTGGTGGTTAAGAGCTCAGGTCCCAGGATCAACCCCCAGGGTGGAAATGCTAACTGTGTGACCCAGGACGAGGCACTAACCCCCCCAACCCTGCCTCAACTTCCCTATCTGTAAAATGGGAATAATGATACTTCCTTTACAGTGTTTTGGTGAGGACTAAATGTGTTAATATGTAGTAAGCACTTGCAGTAATGGCTCATACTAATTGGTATGTCAGTACTGGCTATTTTTATTATTTCTGAGCCTTGGATTCCTTCCTGGTGGTAATGGATGACACAATGTCTTTGGACTGCCTTGGAACCTTGCCCCGGTGTGGGGGGTATTGCTGCAATACTGTCAGGCATTTATCTTTGTGGAGTTGGGTCATGGGGACCTGGAGACCTGAGGTTATTCTTTATACTCAACTTCTGTGTCTGACATTTTCCATGATAAAAAAGTTAAAATAAATGGGAGGTATGTGGTGACAATGTGATGAGCTGATGGGTGTCAGGTGCTTAGCACAGAGCCTAGCCTTTGGGCAGGACTCTACCTGTGCAGGGGGTTAGGTGGTAGAACCCTTTTACAGGTAAGGAAACTGCTGTCTTAGTGACTTGCCCAAAGTCTTGTAATGGCTAGTCCAGGGCTATGCTGTCAGTCACCTCCAGCTGTACTGCCTTTTAGGGGACATGGCAGAGCATGTCAGCCTTGTTCCCATGGTCAAGGGGCACCCCAGAACCCCCAAACCTGCCTGTTTTATTTTTTTTTAAGATTTATTTATTTATGCATACAAGAACAGGATGCAGGCCAGAGGTGTGGGGGGTGAGAGGATTCACCAGAGACAGAGTGGGGAACAGAACAGGCAAATTGACTGAAATACACTACTGAGGGGAGCAGCAGGCGAGACAGGAGAGGTCTGCTGTGCCATGTGGGTAGCTCCCTGGCTGGGGATCAAACTTGTGCTGCAGTGGCTGCTGATAGCTTCATAGGTTGCATCTTAACCCCTTGCGCCACCAGGGAGGCCCAAAACCTGCCTCTTTTAAATAGGTTCTGCCATCTGCCCCATCAAAACAAAACATGTAAGACCTTTATGGAGAGGAACTTTAATACAATTAGTGTGTGATACAGAAAAGACAAAGAATATAGTTTCTAAATCAAGCACCCAAAGTTACCCATCCCCTCGTGGGTAAAACTCCATCCATATGGGAATGGCGCAGAGCAAGGCCCCAAAGCCTGCCACAAGTCTAAAGCACCTTCCAGCGGGGACCCATAGAACATGGTCAGAAGCAGTCAGACAAGTCTGGAGGAAAAGAGCAAAATCAAAATTGACATAAAAGTTGCCATTGTCAGGGCCTCCCCTGGTGGCACAGCGGTTAAGCGCTGGGCTGCCGGTTCATTCCTCAGCCGCCAGAGAGGGTCCCAAAAAAAAAAAAAAAAGTTGCCATTGTCACCTCCCCGCGGCTCTCTCACCCGCATCTGTTTCACCCAGTCCAGGACCAAGAAGCAAGAGCAGTTTCTTCACATGTCTCTCTGCTCCACATGCCTTCTCCAGGTCTCCCTCTTGCTCTCCATCCTGCTTCCTTCCTTCTCAGTGTCCTCTCAGCTTCTTCTCCTCCCTGCTCTGCTCCACCCTCCCTTGGGTAGGGCAGGGAACCTGGAACCTCCCCTTTTTCTGGGGACCACCCTGTTACAGTCAGACCCCCAGATGCCACTGTGGTGTGAGGCTGCACCTGTGAATGGCAACTGTCTGTCTCCTGGCAGCAGAGGGAATGGGGTACTCTGGAGGGGGTTTACATTAAAGTAGCACCACCCCACAGCACTGTCTTAGAGATCCACCTTTTCAGCAACACCTTTTGAAGGGTGTCCTTTTGAAATGCCGGTAGTTGTATAACCAGAAAATGCCAGGGTCAGGCTGCCTGTCGCTGTTGGCATCCAATTGAACAGAGACAGGAATTGAACCTATGACACACTTTATATCAGAGAGCCAGCCAGCTGAAAGCATGGGCATTTCGCCATGAAAGCCCCTTCTAACATCTCATCTCAAGCTGGCCTTTTCTTAGAGAACTAAACAAAGACACTTAATCATAAGCGAGCCTCCTGCCACAGCAGACCATTGCAGTCGGTGCCCTCATCTTCATCACGTCCCATTTGTTGTCATCTCCTTAGTCATCTTGATGCATGTATGTTCTGTTTCCCTGGGCCTGGGAAAACATCTTTGTTCTCAGTAGAGTAAATGGAACTTACCAGGTTTTTTCCGCCCTCCCACCATTAGCATCGATAATAGACACTTTTGGTCTTAACATGTGTGCCCGATGTCGGAAGCCTGAAGTGTGGTGTGGGCATGTGTAAGTGGGCACAGCTGAGTCGAGAGATGGAGCATACAAGCGAGCACAGCAGCAGAGGACGGGAGGAGGCAGAGGACAGTGCGCTACCGCACTGTCTCATCTAGAGATGAGACCACAAGAGAAGCCAGAGAGCCCAGAAAGAGTAAAGATTTGCTGGGGGCTGGAGGCCTGCGAGCCTTCTGGCCCCCTTCCCCCCAACACCACCTGCCCTGCACCTGGTTGCCTTACTCCCCTGGTGGCGCAGCGGTTGAGCGCTGGGTTGCGAGGCTGCCCACAGCCTCTGCAGCGCCAGTTTGATCCTCGGCCACCCGCAAGGGTCCCACAAAAAAAAAAAAAAAAAAAAAAAAAGCTGGAAAAAGCCACTGAGGGCGCCAGGACTCCTTTTCCTGTCTGCTGGCATCATAGAAAACCTGCTTCGTGCCTTGCCGGCACTATTTTCTCCTGATGGCATCAGTGTCCAACACATCTTCAGGTATCATTGGGGCAGAACTCTTAGTTCAAAACAAGGGTTTCAGTTCAAAGAGTAGATTAGTAATCACATGGTGTTTGCATGTGGCCTCTGCTATGTGTGTACGTGCAGATTCCTATAGCAGATATGGTGTCCTCTTCCTCCCTAGCCCCTATCAGTTAGAGAGCCCCATGGCCCCTGGATTTGAGGCCACATCCTTAGCAGTGGTGACTGAGCAGCTGTCTGGGAACTAGGGGGTGGAGGGAGCGAAGGACTTGGCTAAGAAGTCTCCCAAGGCCAGAGAGAGTTTTGGCCACTGGTGGTGAACTGCCTCCCTGAGCCAGGGTAAGCTGTCACCTGGGGGGGATCTTTGTTTTCCCTTTATCTTGAGTGCAAAAGAGAGATATGGAAAAGTATAGGCAGGGCCTACTGGTTGTTTGTGAGATCAAAACCTTCAGAAAAGGCTCCAGGGACAACCTGAGGGTTGAGGGCTGAGGGAAGAATCTAGGGGGAGGGAAGTTCCCTTTTTTGGATTCTGGAGCCTGGTGAGCTAAAACATGCTTTGTAGCTTGACCCTGAAGCCTAGCCAAGATGTAACAATACTGGAGGGAAAAAATGTGTTCCAGCTTCTAGAGAACTGGCTTACCAAAGGGCACACTCTCTGCGTGGCGCTGACATCCTCATTATGAACACCCCCAACCTGAGCCTGAGCCCCAAGGACTCTCGAATGAGCAAGAATCAGGGAGACCAGCTCCTACACCCCTCTCCTCCAGATGAACTTCCCATCCCAAGGGCCAGATGGCAGAGAGAGAGAAAGTCAGTTGGGCTCTGATTATATTTCAGGTATTAGATTTTACGTTAATGATTTCACTTTGACTCTCACAACAGCCTGAGAGCTAAGACTTTTACCCCCATTTTAGAGCTAAGAAAAATGAGGCCCAGAAATGATGTAACTCAGCAGTCACTGCCAGGCCTGGATGTGACCCCAGGTCTGCCCACCCCCAAAGCGGAGCTCTCTCTCCCACACCTCAGAGGTTGCTGAGGTGAGCCCAGTCCTGGGCCCTGACCCTTCTGGGAACTCTCATTGCAGGAGAGCCGGATCTACGCTGTGGCCACGTCAGGCATGCGGCTCTCAGACGTGTCTCCCAGAAGTAATGCTACCAGCTGCGGTAAGTCCTAGGCGTGCTCTCGGAGGACTGGGTAGGCAATGGCGAGGACATGACTGAGCAGCACCCTCCATCCCCTCCCTTCGCCTGTGAGCTACAGGAGAAATCACACAGCAAGGGAAAAGGAAATGGTTCAGGTTCGGCTGTCACCTGCTGCAAGTGAGCAGCACTGTGGCAGGTGCAGAGCTGGAACTCCGAACTCCAGAGATGTCTCCACCTGCACTGGTTCCACAGCAGGGGCTGGGGTAGGAGGTAGGAGCCCACCCAAGAAATGCTTCCCCACCCACTGGCTCCTGAGTCACAGGCCATCACAGTGATGGGGCCTGAAGATGGCCTTCCCTGCCCTGAGATCTGTCACCTGTCTGTCCCCAGAGGGCCTTTTCAGGGAACTGTCTCTAGGGATCTCCTCTCACTCTGCCCAGCATTCTGCCGCCCCACATCCTGTACCCGGGTTATGCCACCTGAGTTAATCTCATTCCTCTTCTCCACCCCCTGCAGCTTCAAGCCCTCCTGCCCTGGCATCCCCTGGGCCTTTCTCTGGCCTCATCTACAAGAATGTCACTGTGCCGGTCTACACAACCCTGAAGGGGGTAAGAATCTGCTGCTTTGCCCCACCCAGAGGCCCCTCCCTTGGCATTCAGTGGCTGGAGAGGGGCCTAGGGTGAGGCTTCTGCACAACACATGGCTCTGCTCCAGGAGCTCACCCCTCCATATGTCATTTTACTATTTATTAGATTTTTTTATAAAAATTCTACATTTATAAAATTTTGAATCAGTGTGATTGTGGGCCAAGTAAAAAGTTAAAAGTTAACCCTCTGCTGACTCCGCCTCCTGGCCCCATCTTTCCACATGTCTGTTTGAGAGGGCAGTGAGACTCCTTCTAGAATTTCTTACATGTCTTTAAGACATACCCCTGTGTACTCTCAAACTGTCTCTACATATTTTTTTCAACAGAATTCAGATATGACTGCAACATGATATTTTCATACACATTTTTACTGCTTTCTGAGATAACTTTTACTCTTATAAAGTAATGCTTTATAAGACTATTTATAGAAGAATGTAAAGCCAAAGGTAAAATTTTGGGTTTTTTTTAAAGATTTATTTATTTATTTATGCAAGCACTGGGTATAGTCAGAAGCGTGGGAGGGTGAGTGGATTCACCAGAGCCAGAGCGGGGAACAAAACAGACAGACTGACGAAGTACACTGCTGAGGGGAGCAGCGGGTGTGGCAGGAGAGGTCTGCACGCCATATGGGACCCTCGCCTGTGGCCAGGGATCGAACCGGTGCTGCAGAGGCTGTGGGCAGCTTCACAGCCCAGCGCTCAACCACTGTGCCACCAGGGGAGGCTCCAAAGGTAAAATTTTTTTCTCATATTGTTCTCCCTGATTCCTAACCCTAGAGGCAACTATCATCAATGATTTGGCGTTTTTTTTGTTTTTTAATATCCAAAAGGTCAGGTTTATTATTAAAAAAAGAAAGGACGCTTGCTTGGACACAAGCAGGCACAAAGAGCTGCCCCTGAAAGGGTCAGGTTAATGAAAAGAAATGCTGTTTAGATAAAGGTGGGTAGTCTTGGGATGAGAGCGGCTGATGTGGTGTTTATTATGTAAGACCCTCTTGGGAATATGTTTACAGAAATTCTTTGCGTCTGTCATTTTCTCTCTGTCTCTGTCTCTGTCTCTCTCTCTCTCACACACACACAGGATCATATTATACCCCTGGCTTATCTAGCCAGCTGTGTGTCATGTCTCCCTGCCATGCTCTGCCTCTGTCACACAGCTCTGCCTCCCCTTTTAGGGATCTACCCCTTGGTATCGATGCCCCATACTGGCCTAACCTGACCACTTAGGTCTTATCTCTCTGCTTTTCTCTAAAATAAGTGCTGTGATAGACATCACTGTGCAGATTTATCATAGTGCAGTTATTTGTGCATTTTTTTAAAATTCTTTAAAAAAAGATTTATTTATTTATTTATACAAGCACTGGGTACAGTCAGAAGCGCGGGAGGGTGAGAGAATTCACCAAAGCCAGAGTGGGGAGCAGAACAGACATGTGGGACCCTCACCGGTGGCTGGGGATCGAACCTGCGCTGCAGAGGCTGTGGGCAACTTCACAGCCCAGCACTCAACCGCTGCGCCACCAAAGGAGGTCCTTTGCGCATGTTTTTGTGGGACATTTCTAGAGGTGAAATTTATAGGCAATTGTGTGCATGTTTTAAATTTTAGTACTATCCAATTATCTTCTAAAAAGACTTTATCATATTTCAGAGCATCCCTTACCCCACACTTCCACCAGTACTGAGACAATTAGTCTTTTTTTTTAAGATTTTTTAAAAAGTTATTTATGCATACAAGTGCTGGAGTACAGGCCAGGGGTGTGGGGGAAAGGGGTGAGAGGATTCACCAGAGACAGAGTGGGGAGCAGAACAGGCAGACTGACTGAAATACACTGCTGAGGGGAACAGTGGGCAAGCCGGGAGAGGTCTGCCATGCCATGTGGGTTGCTCCCTGGCCAGCCAGGGGGTCGAACTCGTGCTGTAGTGGCTGCAGATAGCTTCATAGGTTGTGTCTTAACCCCTTGCACCACCAGGGAGGCCCTTAAGATTTATTTATTTATGCATGCAAGAGTTGGGGTACAGGCCAGAGATGCAGGGGGTGAGAGGATTCACCAGAGACAGAGTGGGGAGCAGAACAGGCAGATCCACTGAAATACACTGCCGAGGGGTGCAATGGGTGAGACAGGAAAGGTCTGTACCATGGCCAGGGATTGAACTTGTGCCACAGCGGCTGCAGATAGCTTCATAGTGCTGAGACTTAACCCCTGTGCCACCAGGGAGGCCCAAATTGGTCTTTTAGTTGCTTGCTGATTATCTGTCACTTCATGTTTTCCCACACATTTTTAAAGCTCTTTTCTCACACTTGTTCCCTGGTGTGGCATTCTGACCCCTAGTGGCCAGGAGTGAGGTCACCCCTAGTGACCAGGTGACTAGCCCAGATGGGGCAGCTCCTTTGGGGAGCACAGAGGATGATGTGAGAGGGAGGCTCAAGGAGGAGCAGGGAGGACACAGGAGTGGGGTCAGGAAGGAACAGTTGTTTGTTGGGTACCCTGTTAGTGGATGGCACCCATGTGCCCCAGATAGGCTGCATAGGCCACACCTGAGCAGCTGAGCCTGAGCTCAAGCACAGGTGGGAGGCCTTGCAGCCTGAGCTGCAGCGGGAAGGTCTTCATTGCAGAGAGCCATGCAAATTAGCAGCGTACCCTTTGTGGACGAGTCCTCTGGGTCCGATGATGACTGCAGCTCTCAGGCAAGTTTCCGAACTTCAGTCCCCTGCTCTGAGTCCAGGAAGACCAGCGGACTGGGCAGCCCACGGGCCATCAAGAGAGGTAGGGAGCAGTGAGGGAGCAGGATGGGAGGGAGGCCACATGGATTCTTTACCTCCTGCCATGGCCATCCCTGCCCTCTGTCCTTGAGCCCTCAGCACCTGATTCGGGGTCCCCGGTGGGCAAGTTCCTGGGCTGTGCAGGCCGGATTCAGGCCTTGACTCCTCCTCCCTTGGCCAGGAGTCTCCATGTCCTCACTGAGCTCTGAGGGTGACTACGCCATCCCCCCGGATGCCTGCTCACTGGACAGCGACTACTCCGAGCCTGAACACAAACTGCAGCGTACCTCGACCTACTCTACTGACGGGCTGGGCCTAGGCGGGGTGAGCTGGGCATCCCCAGGGGGGCTGAGGCAGGACAGGGTGGGAGCCGACCTCCAGCAGAGGCTTTCCAGGACCCTCTGCACAGGACACAGGCAGCAACTGTTGTGAAATGAGGGGTGCCTGGCTTTGGTGAAGGGGCTGTCCCAGACAAGAGGCCCTGGGAAGAGCACACACTGTCCTGATAAGGGGAGGGGGCTGAGCTCCTCATCCAATCAGGAATGGCAGTTCAGAGCCCACCAAAGCCCACCTGGCTCCAGGAGGAGTTCTCATGCCCTCAGTCACTTAGCCCCTTGCTGACGCTGGACCGCTAAGAGCTCACGTCTGTTGACAGCTAGCAGTGCCAGGCTCTGTGCTCACTGCTTCGTATGCACAGTCTCATTTGTCCTCACAGTCCTGTCAGGATTATTATCCCATTTTATGGATGACAAGCCTGAGACTCAGAGACACCTATCACATGCCAGCACAAACCCTGATCTCCGCCATTCCGAGCCTTTGCTCCACACCACTGTGCTGCCCCTCGTCATCTGCCCACCTTACGAACCTTCCACCCCTGCCTGATAGGTTATCTGCTGTTCCCTAGACCTCTCTCTCCCCTCTCTGCTGCCTGGAATAGCCTCCTCCTCTTTTCAGCTCATCTTTGAAGGAAAGGCTGCTCTTCTCTTCCAAGGCCAGCCCAGGTCCAGCTCTCCCCTGTATCCCTCCCCACCGTTCTCTCTGTGTCCCCCATCAACTGTCTTCTTAGGCCAGGTTTTATCCCCAACCAGCCTGTTCCTTCTACAGCAGGACCCGCCCCCCTCCCTCCAGACATGTAGCAGGGCACAATGCCCTGAAAGCACACATAGTTGGTACTCAATTGTATGTTTTAATAGATGACAAAGCAGTGACTCAGTGGGCCCATTTTGGCCTGTGATGTCCAGAAACCCTGAGTGACTTCCCTATTCTTTCCTGGTGCCCTTGCACCCCTGCAGGAGTTACTGGAGAAGTCTGGCTACCTGCTAAAAATGGGGAGCCGGGTGAAGACCTGGAAGAGGCGCTGGTTTGTCCTGAGGCAGGGACAGATTATGTACTACAAGTCCCCGGTAAGACCCCTACTTCCTAACGGTAGTCAGGACGACCCTACTCCAGACTCAGAACTTTGTGAGAGGGACTCAAAGAGGGGTTGAGGCCAGAGGGCAAAGATCTGGCAGGTGGGGAGACAGCTGGCTGGGCACTCAAGGCTTTGAGCTGCAAAGTACAAGACCTGTCCTCTGGCTGGCCACTGGTTCTCACCAGGAACCAGGCCCCGAGGCATCAGAGGCAGTTTTAGAGAATTGGCTTGGTGATTCCTTCTTCAGAACCCAATTTCTTCTTAAGCCAATATGTCCTATAAAGGAGCTATCTCCAGGCTGCCCTCACAGACAAGAGGACAAGATTGTTCTGACAGGGAAGCCCATTACCTTCTCCACCTCTTTCCAGCTCTATTTGGAATTAGAGAGCCTTGGGTGTTGGGACCTAGTTTGACGTGATTCCAAGACCTGACTGGGACACCCAAGTTAACATTTTAAAGAGGGCAAGAAGGCCTTGTCTCTTGTGTAGCTCCAGCTGACCTGTAGCAGCTGTCTCCAACACCGTGTTAAGGACTCTGGACCCATGTTCCCCAAGAGCAGGTCTGCTCTGGTTGATTAGTGATGTCTGCGGTGGTGCTGGACCCTGGCGCTAGATGCTGGTGCTGGAAAAGGCCACAGTGGCATACATGCCACTTACTTGCCACACTTGGGATAAAGGATGTGGTAGAAAGAATTAAAGGGTTTCTAACCTAATTTTATTTTTTTTTTAAGAGTTATTTATGCATATAAGAACTGGGGTACAGGCCAGAGATGCAGGGGGTGGGAGGATTTACCAGAGACAGAGTAGGGAACAGAACAGACAGATTGACCGAAGTACACTGCTGAGGGGAGCAGCAGGCAAGACAGGTGGGTTGCTCCCTGGCGGCCAGGGATCAAACTCGTGCTGCAGAGGCTGTGGATTGCTTCATAGTGTAGTACTTAACCCTTGTGCCAGCAGGAAGGCCCTCTAACCTAATTTCAAAGGCTCTTTTTTAAGGAGGCCTAGGCAGAAGGACCCAGCTCTCATCATTGCTCCATTTAGCCAGAACTGGGATTCAGAGCAAATTGCCCATCTGCCGTGGCCCAGGAAAGCTTAGGACTCTCTTCCCCTCTGCCTGGAGGGGAGATGAGCATAAATGATGTGTCCTTAAAAGCCACCACACTCCCCTCTCTGTCCTTACTTTCCAGAGTGATGTCATCCGGAAACCTCAAGGACAGGTGGAATTGAACTCCCGTTGCCAAATTGTTCGAGGGGAGGGCGCCCAGACATTCCAGGTGAGCAGCTTTATCCTCGCAACTAGTTTTTTAGACAGAAGAGGTGCTGGGTTTGGATAAGACTAGAAGCAAAGATGGGGCAAGATAAGCATGTGGGAGAAACATCACATCAGCATTTGGGTGTGACCCTAATTTGTGAGTACAAGAAAGGAACAGGAGATAGATTGTGAGAGAAGGAATTGAGGTAGGAGAGACAGGGGGAAAAGATCAGGAAAGGAAGGGAAGGAGGGAGTCCAGGGTGGCGAGAAGGAAGGCCCAGGGGGTTCAGGGTTTTGCCACCTCAGAGCCATGTTCCTGTTACTTCACCTTCCTGTTCCCCCTCTGCTTCCGGCTCCCAACCCCTCACTCTTCTCCACAGCTCATCTCTGAGAAGAAAACCTATTACCTGACGGCGGATTCACCCAGCCTGCTGGAGGAGTGGATCCGAGTGTTACAGAGCCTGCTGAAGGTCCAGGCCGTTGGGCCTCCAGCCCTGCCTCAGGGTGGCACCAAGCCCACCGTGAAGGGCTGGCTCACCAAGGTAAGCTGGCCTGGGCTAGTGAGAGAGGAATGTGGTCCCCCCAAGAGCCAGGGAGCCAGGAGCCAGAGTGCCAAGGGGGCGTGGGCCCCTCTTTATCCACAGTTTGTTTCTCCAGGGATTTCCTCAGTGACCAGCTGGTGAGCTCTCACATAGTCTGGCCACGCCAGGTGATGGTAGATGAGTCTCTGGAAACAGGGATCAGGACAGGAGGGACAAGGAGGGCAAGGAATGTCTTGTGCCCACCTTGAGGTCATCTGGAGTTGCTCCCCATCCCTACCTGTACCCACCACCCCTCATATTAATAGTGACCTAGGCAAGGGCCATTCAAAGACTAATTACCTCCCAGGTCTGCCCACAGACATTTTAGTTAGGGCCTGTCAAACCCAGGAAAAGGGACATTAGCAAGGAGACCCGAACACCAGCAGCCAAGCACAAGGAAGCTCAGCGCCCACGACTTCGCCTCCACTGCCCATTCAGCAAGTGTTCCTGTCACTCTCCTGAGTGCAGCCGCTGTTCCCTCAGGCTTCACACTTGCCTGAGGGCCAGCAACCATATCTGTAACCTTACTTGGCATCCTTACAACTCTGGCCTCTGCCAGCTAGTTAGTTGAGCCCGTGTTCATATTCCTGGGTCAGAGCTTGAGATTGTCCTGGTTTATCAGTTTGTCCAAGGACATGTGGCACGCCACGTGGCGCACATGTGGCCTGTGGTGTGGAAGGGCTGGTCCCATGAGTTGGGCGTCTGGGTGGTGGAGTCTCCACTGCAGACCTGAGTTTGATCAGGAGTGTTGAGAGCTGCCTCCCTATGGCTTCTCTTGGCCAGTCCTGGATTCACTTATGGGGTCACCTGGCTTTAATAATGCTGGTTCGTTTCTTACAGGTAAAGCATGGCCACTCCAAGCTGGTCTGGTGTGCTCTCATTGGGAGAACCTTCTACTACTATCGGAGCCATGAAGACAAGGTACTTCCTGATCTCCCATGCTCTGCTTTTCCCAAACCACATTCCTGTGGCTCTACATTCTGATGGAAGGTTCCAGTTTTACCCACTACCCCACCTTACCCCACAATTATAAAGCCAGCGGACTGGAGCCCTCCAGAATATGTGGCCAGTGTGTGTGGCGCACAGATTCTGCCTGTGAGGCAGATCTGTGGTTCTCCAAGCAAGGCTCAGCCAGGAACCAGATTCTCTCCCTCCCTGTCCTGTCATCTGACAACATCCATCATTTCCCAGCCTAGGGCCTGAGGGTTCAGATAGAGGGGACTCCCCACCACACCCACTTTCATGGAAGGCTCGTGTCCACAGCGACCCCTAGGCCGCCTGCCTGTGCGGGACGCGCGCATAGAGGAAGTAGATCGATCTTGTGACTCAGACGAGGACTACGAGGCTGCAGGAACCGGGCGGTTGCTGTCCTCACACTGCACCCTGGTGATCCACCCCCCAGAGCACAGCCCCACCTACCTCCTCATTGGCACGAAGCATGAAAAGGTAAGGGCTCTTTCTCCTTCCCCAGAACTTCCCAAATTCAGGTTTATTTCCTGCCTGGACATTATGGAAACTAGTATTCCCTGCATGGGAATTTTGTTATGTTGAATCTGCATCCAGTGACCAATCTCTTCTTTGGAGTCATAACATAGAACCACAGGCTCAGAAACCTGCATTCATCATCACCTAGTCCTGAGTCTTTCTCCTCAAAGACTGGTGACCTTGAGTTGTGCCAGCCAATCAGCTGTGCCCCACACCAGGCTTGGCCCCTTTAAGGAGGCCCTCCTGGAGCTCTTGCCTCCATGCTTCCCCCCAACCCCAGCCCCATCAGATGGCATTCCATTCTTTTCCAGGACACATGGCTTTACCACCTCACAGTGGCTGCAGGTAACAGCAGTGCCAAGGTGGGCACTGCCTATGAGCAGCTCATTGGAAAACTGATGGATGGCGAAGGAGACCCAGGTAAGGCCTGGTGGCCATTACTGCTTGGGTTGGAGGGTTTTGACCATAATTGTTGGTCAGTAATCTAGATAGAGCAGGACTGTACCCTGAAGCTGTTTTGTGGCTGCCTAAGTCATAGACTCCATCGCCCTTGTCTGGTGAAGATAGAGGTGACCACTCTGTGTCTGGGGGAGTTTACCTGGGAAGCAGTTTCCAGTGACCTGGGTCAGCATTTTACTTTGTCAAACCTGCAACTTTGCTAGCTGGGCAGAGGGTTGAGGAAAGAGAGTAGCTGGTAACTCTGTAGTCAGAATCCATCAATAAGAAACCTAAATTGACATCAGGCTACACTGAGCCTGGGTGTCTGGGGAGTCTTTATTTTGCAACTGATTCTCAGGATCTGGAGGAACTAATGGCACATACCACATACACCTCTTTATACGTGAGGCTTATTAATTTCAGGCTGATGCATGCACTCCCCCATCCTGACCTCCCCTGCGCATGCATGTGCTCTCAGGTGCCCCCCACCTGGCACACACTCTACTGTCACCACCTACGAGCCAAGGAGTAACCTCCTTCCTGTAAGCCTTGCTGGTGAGCATGCTGATGGCCATGCACAGCTGCATTCGCTACACTCCAGGGAGGAAAACCCAGCGTGACGCCTCTATCCCTTCAGGGCACAGCCACATATGCCACACTCCACAGAGGGCATCCCAGCACAACCCAAGCCTTCCCCACAAAAGAAAGTGGGGTGAGGGTGGGATGAGAGTTCAGTGCTAACTGCTGGTGCTGTGCTTTGGGCAGATTCCCCACTCTGGAGGCACCCCATGCTGTGCTACAGCAAAGACGGGCTGTGTGCCTCCCTCACCACCCTGCCCTCTGAGGCCCTGCAGACCGAGGCGCTCAAGCTCTTCAAGGTAAAGTAGGAGCAGAGCCCAGACCCACCCTCTGGCGTCACACCCACTGTGTGCCCTGGCTCTGCCCGCCGCCCCCTCCGTGGCTATACTTGGGTGCAGGATCCATCCAGTTAGGAGGCTACTTGCAGAGGGTCTGAAGAGGTAGGGAATGAGCTCCACAGGGCAGTCATGGTGTCCTTTTTGGAGGGAAGGCAGCTCTGGGACTTCACTTATGAGCCCTTGGGAAGCATCAGTGAAATTCCTCATGAGAAGCTCCCAGCAGGAAAGGCTAGGCTTATGTTGCATCTGTACCTGTGACCTATTTTAGACTGTTCTTTATGCCCATCTGAATATGGTGTCTTTCCAAAAAATGAATATGCTTGCTTATGTAATGGAAACATTAGAGGAATGATTCCACCCCAAAGTAGCCCCTCTCAGCACGCACAGATGCTCTCAGGCAGTAACACACCCTCTGAGCAAGGGCAGGATGCTGGTGAGCGTCCCTTGAGCCCTGGGGCCACAGTCTGTCCGCTGTCGCTGAGGATGAGAGCCAGAGACTGAATGTGCCCACCGTCATTTCCCTGCAGTCCTGCCAGCTCTTCATCAACGTGCCTGTGGAAGCTGCCTCAGTGGACTACCACGTGTCCCTAGCCCAGGCAGCCCTGCAGGTCTGCCTGGTTCACCCCGAGCTGCAGAGCGAGATCTACTGCCAACTCATGAAGCAGACCAGCTGCCGCCCGACTCAGAAGTACTCCCTCATGCAGGTAGGCAACCCCAGGGCACAGCAGCTGACAGGAGGTCATGGGCAGCCTCAGTGCTCACAGCTGCCCACTCTGTGCCCCCTCCTAGATGTCTGTGCACAAACTGTGATTGCTCTTCTGGGCTCAGCCTGACCAATTTGGCCTTCCTGGTACCCGCAGAAGGTTGGGGGCTCCATTTGGAGAGAGAGCTGAGGGCTGTGTAGCTCACGACCGAGGGCTGGTGATACTGCAGACCCAGCTCTCACCCCCACCCCGTGCGGCCTCTTCCTCCCACAGTGCTGGCAGCTCCTGGCTCTGTGCGCCCCACTCTTCCTGCCTCAGCACCACTTCCTCTGGTATGTCAAACAGCGGCTCCAGCGCCATGCAGATCCCAGGTGAGTAGTGCGTGTCACTGTCCCTGCCACTCCAGCAGGAGCGACACAGGGAACTAGGTCAGGTCCTCCCTACCCTCTGAGTTTGATCATCATCGTGTATGCAAATGGCAGGTGGCAATGGGAGCATGTGAGGGCCCCCTGTACACCAATCCTTGTGTTTTGTGGGGTCCACATGTGAGGCAGCAGTGCCCCCAAATTGTCATTCTCTGGTGCCATGTCTTTTGACTTCTGGGGGCACTATCTTCGTGAGCAACCTGCAGTATGCAGAACCTAGCTGGCAAATTAACACTCCAGCCCAGATTCTTCAGGGCTTTTTTTCGTGGCCCGCCCGGCTGCAGATTTGGTCCAGGGCTGGATAGGGAACCAGGGTGATGGCAGGAATGAATGGATTCCCTACTATCCCTTCTTCCTTCACCTGTCTTTTCAGAAATGAAACTGGCCAGTACGCCACCTACTGCCAGCGGGCAGTGGAGCGAACCCTGCAGACTGGGGAGCGGGAAGCCAGGCCATCACGTATGGAAGTGGTGTCCATCTTGCTGCGAAACCCCTTCCATCACTCCTTGCCCTTCAGTATCCCCGTGCATTTCGCCAATGGGACTTACCAGGTGAGAGGCCGGGTGTGCTCCCTGTCCCAGAGCTCATATCACCATCCCAAAGAATTCCTTTGGGTGCTATGCCTCCTTAGGCCTGGCAGGTTCTTAGGCAAACCAGCAAAAAGATGGGCCGTGGAGGGAGGAAGAAGTTTGAATCCCACTTTCTGGTGCTGTAGAAGTAGATCTTTTTTTTTTTTTTTTTTTTTTTTTTTTCTTAAAAAGATTTATTTATTTATTTATACAAGCACTGGGTATAGTAAGAAGCGCGGGAGGGTGAGAGAACTCACCAGAGCCAGAGCAGGGAACAGAACAGGCAGACCAAACACACTGCTGAGGGGAGCAGCGGACGCGGCAGGAGAGGTCTGCGCACCATGTGGGACCTTTGCCGGCAGCCAGGGTTCGAACTGGCGCCACAGAGGCTGTGGGAAAGCTTCGCAGCCCAGCGCTCAACCACTGCGCCACCAAGGGAGGCCCTAGAACTAGATCTTTTGAGCCCATTGAACAGAGAAGCTGAGACACTGACCAAGTGTCTCAGCAGCATGAGGGAGGGACTCCAAACGAGTGATAGTAAAGTAGGACCAGGGCATATGTCCAGTTCCACTTGACATTGGGTGGACTCATCCCTTAAGCGCTCTGCATCTGAATACAAACCCAACTTTCTTTGGCTCTTGCACTTGGCCTTGCTCCTTTCAGCCAGGCTTTTATACCTGCCATACCCAGACCCCTCCAGCAGCCCTAGTGAGCTCCCTCGGGAAGTTCCCTCTGGGACAGAATGCCTCTCCCCTGCAGGTGGTTGGTTTCGATGGCTCCTCCACAGTTGATGAGTTCCTCCACCGGCTGAACCAGGAGACAGGCATGAGGAAGTCTTCGCATTCTGGCTTTGCCCTCTTCATGGATGATCCCTCTGGCAGGGACCTGGAACACTGCCTGCAGGGGAGTGTCAAGGTGATGAGCTCTCCACTAAGTCAACTGAGCCCCTGCTGAGCCTCCTCCAGGCTTTGGGTCTTTGGTGGGGAAAGAGCCTGTCTGGTGGATGCTGACTATTCTCCAACAGGTCTGGTGCTGAGCCCAAGGTGCTCCCCCAGGTAGGCATTTTAGGGTGGCTGCAACCCTAAAGTGTGCCCATACTGGCAGAGAAAAGTTGGTTATGCTCTTGTTTCTGGAGAGAGCTCCACATCACACCTTCCCTTGAGTGGTTGCACATCCAGGAGAAATGCTGCTTCTCAGTGTGGCATAGGCAGGACAGGAAGGAGTTTCTCAGCAGCCCCAAGCTTGCTGGGTCTCATATACACACGGCATCTGTACGCCAAGACCCACTGGGCGTCATGGTGGTCACCTCACTTTGACCCTCTCTGCTGGGCTGGTGCTATGCTTGTGGGATCAGCCACACTGTAAGGAGGCAGACCCTCCTGTTCCCTCTGTGAGCGAAGACCCTGCAATGGGATTTAAGACTTATGCTGTGTTACAGTCAGGGTTAGTGCTACAGGGGTTAGGTGTTTGGGCATGTGTGTGATGAGTGTGTGATGAATGTGAGTGCTTTGGCTCCAGTGACTGCTTTCTTTATGGGGACAGGACTGAGCCTTCCATAGTCTTTTACTATTGCCTGGAAGAATTGTATTTACAAAGAACAGATCTTCTTTGTAAATGTCTGGGCATCTGTAAGATTTGTCACTTGGTAGGCCTTTGGGTATACTTGTTGAAGAGAATGGCATTTGGAATTATAAATGGAACATCATTTTGGGGGCTCACTTTACTCTGGGGAGGTCCCCTCAGGGGTTAAGGCCAGTGGGGCAGCATTCTGTGCTTTGCTGCTCACGCCAGATCCGGGGCTATGCCTCCCTGTCTTGTCAGTGAGATTCGTAGGCAACTCTGTCCTGGCCATACAAGGCCCCCGCAGGTCAGCCTGCTGGAGGACAGTCACTCATCTCTGCCCTGCTGCTCTGCCCGTAGCTAGCCCTGGCTGCACCTGTTCCTGTCATTGAGGGCTTTTCTCATTGTCTTCTTTTGCCTCTTCAAGATCTGTGATGCCATCTCCAAGTGGGAACAAGCCCTGAAGGAGCTGCACTCTGGAAAGTCTGAGGGTGGCACACGTGTTGTGAAGCTGATGTACAAGAACAGGTCCTGAGTGCTGCCCTTGGGGGGCGGGCGGGGGGCTGTGAGCATGAGGGCTGCTCTGGGATGCCATTCACTGCTTCCTTCACAGCAGGGGTCCAAGATGGACTGCTTGTGGTAGTCACTAACTGGGCCCAGCCTGGCTCTGCTGATCCTGTGCTGCCCTGGGCAGCTCAGGCTGTCAATGTCTGTGCAGCATGTGCACATGTGAGCATGCAAACACACTGCTGAGACCTTCATGGCTGTATGAGTTGCATTAGGAAAGTGAAATGTGTGAACACTAGATATTTAAGGCTAAAAATAACTAGGTCCTATACCAACTCTGGGAAATACTGGAGACATCCTGACTTTTTATCAGTTTAAGAAATTCCATCCTAAGCAGTGTCTCCAGGCAACTGATCTTCATTAATCTCTTGGAGTCTTTACTCATTCAGTTCCCTAATAACCTACGATTCTAGGTACCAGATTTCCCTCACCGAATCCAGTAAGACTAATGGTGTATTCAGAATTAGCTTCGTGCTGTTGCTAGGAGAGCTGCTGACCCTGCATCTGCTCTATGTCATGCTTCATTTTTTCTGGAGGCAACAGAAAGCAGACTCACAGATGATTACCAAGAGTAGTTTCTGTCTTTGAAATCAAGAGCAACAGATGCAGAGATGGCCTCATCCATTTGGGATCCCAGTTGAGTCTTGGCTTCTTGTTGCTCTTGCCTTTAGGCTGTACTTTCGGAGTCAAGTCAAAGGGGAGACAGAGCGGGAGCGGCTGCTGCTTGCCTCCCAAACTAGTGGAGAGATAGTGGCAGGGAGATTCCCTGTCAACAAGGAACTGGCTCTGGAGATGGCTGCCCTCATGGCCCAGGTAAGATTCTGCTTGGGAAGCGGGAAGGGTGAGACCCATGTTTGGACTCACAGGTGGAATGAGCCATTTAGCCTAAAACACAGGAGGTCCTGCAGGTCCCATGGTGCCCAAGGAGAGGGTGGTCTTGCTGTCACTGGTGTGGAGAGCAGTGGGCCCTTCTCCCCCCTAGCAGATCCTCCTTGCGAGATACAGGCTACACACAGAACTCTGGGCTTGGAATCCTGAAAGCTGATTTGGGTCCTAGCTACTTCCCCACTGAGATCTTGGCCCAGTCAATTGAGCTTCCTTTCCTGTATTCTTAAAATTCTCCCTGCTTACCCTCCATAGGGTTAGACTGATATTTAGTGTCTGTGGATAAACTGGTACTAATAACTGTCAAGCATTCTAAGTAGAATTAGGAAGAGGAAGGCACATTTCAACTTCAGCTCTTCCCCCTATTACTTTTTTTTTTTTTTAAAGATTTATTTACTTATTTATACATGCACTGGGTACAGTCAGAAGCGCGGGAGGGTGAGAGAATTCACCAGAGCCAGAGCAGGGAGCAAAGCAGGCAGAGTGACAAAATAATACTGCTGAGGGGAGCAGTGAGCATAGCAGGAGAGGTCTGTGCGCCATGTGGGACCCTCGCCCGGCTCCTGGGGATCGAATCGACACTGCAGAGGCTGCGGGCAGCTTCGCAGCCCAGCGCTCACCGCTGCGCCACCCGGGAGGCCATCTCCCTATTACTTTTAGGAAGCTCTCATGCCAAAGGTATTGGGATACCTTTATGGTTGCCATAAGAAAGAGATCAGACCTACATGCTGGAGAGAAAAGGGAAATAACAGTTGATCTTTAACATAATGAACATTTATTGAATACTCTATAGCGGGCCCTGTGCTAAAAATTTTGTTATCCCAGTCAGTTCTCATTCCCACTTAACGAATGAGAAAATCGGATCCAGAAAGTTTAAGCAGTTTGATTAGGATCGCAAAGCTGGTAAATGGCAGAGGTAGGATTTGAGCCAGGTGTCTGACTCAAAGGCCAAACTTGGAACATGCTGCCGCACTCTGGGATCTGAAGCATATTCAGCCCTATAGACCTACTCTTGGATGGGAACCAGACTTTCTGCATTGCTTTCTTTTGTCCACCACTAATTAACTATCTTTGGAGAAGACAATGTCAGCAGTTGGTCTAGACAATCTTTAATGTTCTAGGACTGAGATTGTTTCTCTACTGTCTATGAAACAAGGTAATGTGTCTGTTCATACCCCACTAGTAATTAATTAATCGTTTATTTGACCTCTCCCAATAGCAATCTCTACCCCCATTCCAACCACCTCCGGACTCTTGACTGGTCCTTCTGTGTGCTTCCACCACAGGTAGAATATGGGGACTTGGAGAGGTCTCCCCCATCAGGCTCTGGGGGCACACCCCCTGCCAAGGCTCAGCATCACCTCCAGCAGGTCCTAGATCGGTTCTATCCAAGGCGCTATAGACATGGGGCATCCACTGAACAGCTGAGGTAGGCTCGTCTTGTGGGAAGTTGCTGTGGGGACGTAGGGGCTGCAGAGTTGGAGAAGCCTCAGAGCTGGGACGAAAGCACGTTGACACTTCACTAGCACCCTTTCTCTCTGCCCCTCCCAACCAGGCACATGGCAGATCTGCTAGCCACAAAGTGGGCAGCACTGCAAGGCTGCTCCTCTCCTGAGTGCATCCGCATCTACCTGACAGTGGCCCGGAAATGGCCTTTCTTTGGTGCTAAGCTCTTTGCTGCTCAGGTAAGTGCCTGTGGTTTCCAGTAGGAATTGTTACCACACTTTCAGGAGGGACACCCTAATTCCTTCCTGGAGCTACTGTCTCCATGAGGTCATGTTGAGTCAGTCCAGATTGCAACGCCTGCTCACACGCTAGTAACCACCAGAGGTCGCTATCTGTCCACGCATTGCTGGCCAAATCCAGATTTCTACCTTCTAGAGCAAATTCTGCTTCGGAGCCAGAATTACTTCTGTGTGACCCTCATCTTTCCTTTTTTTTTTTTTTTAAGATTTATTTATTTTTATACAAGAACTGGGAGAGGCACGGGAGGGTGAGAGGATTCACCAGAGACAGAGCAGGGAACAGAAGAGGCAGACTGACGAAATACACTGCTGAGGGGAGCAGCGGGTGAGACAGGAGAGGTCTGCCATGCCATGTGGGACTCTCCTTGGCCAGCCGAGAATCAGACCCGTGCTGCAGAGGCTGCGGACAGCTTCAAAGCACTGCACTCAACCCTCTGCGCCACCAGGGAGACCAGGGAGGTCCTCATCTTTTCTATTTTGACTTCTTTCTCAATGCTACTACCTCTGGGGAAAAAAAAGATAGGATAGACTAATTCAAAGACTTGATATGCTATCCCCCTCTCAAGTATGTTTTCATTTATTAAAAGGTATGAAAGACAGAATGTTATCAAGTATTTGAAAGATAGAACAGACATCTTAGGAACATATTGATATTCTAGACTAATACATTTCTACTGATTTAGCCTGGCCACAGGGGAAGCTAACTGCTCAGGAAACAGTTCGTTTCACCTGCATGAATGCCAGGTGGCCAATAGTCATTTCAGTTGGGCCTTTACTGGATGTGAAGAGAGTATGCTGTCCTTGGAACTGGATTCTGATCCTGTTCACTGAAGATACAGATTAGATAGTACACATTCACTTGGTCACTCAACAAAGAATTGCTGAGCCCCTGAGCCTGGGACACAGTACTAATTGTTTAAGGTTATGAGAGATGAGCAGATCAGACATGTGCCCTGCCTTCATCGTGCTTCCCCTTCAGTGGGGGAGATATACATTCTCACATTTCTCGCCCCAGCCTTTTGGGTAGGAGAGATAGGAAATCTTCTGGATTATCCCCATGTCCTGACGGAAAATTAGTCATTCCAGGAACTGTCTACCAAATAGTCACTTTTCTCACTGGGAGGACCTAAAGCCCATCAGATTGCATCCTTTCCCTTCTGTTCCTTTTACAGTCCCTGGGAAGCTGGCTGAAGGAAGATGCACTTTGGCTGGGGAGACTGGGGGTAGATTACTGTTAGTTTCCAGGAGTTAGGAGCAAACAGCCTACTCTCCTGGTGTTGGCAGAGCAGCCAGGCCTGATCTCTGTCATCAGCAGAGCTCCTCACCAGTGTGCTGCAGAGGACAGGTTATAGGTGCTCCAACAAGACGACCCCCCCTTGGGTTAGTAGGTGGCCAGCACCCCAAGGCAGCGCCTCCTGCATGAGGCATCATTTATCCTGCATGCTGCATAAATAACCTTCTTCTGTTTTCTCAGATGAGAAAAAGGTTGGCAGTCACTGCCTAGAGGTGCCTTCTTCCTCAAAAAGCTCTCATGGTTCAGAATCCCTTGCTGTGGATATGTCTGATGGGTCCTTTCTGTCCCCCCAGCCTGCCCAGCTGTCTTCCAGGGAGACCGCTCTGGTGTGGATTGCGGTGAATGAGGATGGCGTCAGCATCCTGGACCACAACACCATGGTAGGAAGGATGAGGGTGGCCCTCTTCCCCTCCTCCTCCTGAGCAGTGCCTTGTCTTCTCTTCTCTGCACCCCAACACCTGAACTGTGGTTCCCCTGTCCCTGCCTCCTCTCTAGAGTAGATACAACAGATACTCAAGATGTTAGACGTCCACATTATGACCACTTCAGAATTCTCCCTTCCTGGTCTAGAAAAGATGGGGGGGGGGGGGAACGGCAGGGGGAAGATGCTGGTTCCTAACTCAGTAGGAAGAGGAGTTTCCCTAGAATTGACTGGCTCCTTCCCACAGCAGGTACATGTCACTTACCCGTACTCCTCAGTGATGACCTTTGGTGGCTGCCGGGATGACTTCATGCTGGTAATTAGATCCACCCTAGACCAGAGCTCCGGCAAAGGCCACACTGAGAAGTTGATCTTCCGGATGGCTGCTCCCAAGGTGGGTCTGACAGCCCCTGAACCATTTACTCTGATCTGGTAATGAAGAGGTGGGCTTGAAGCTTAGAAAGTAAAGCGGGGTTATGACAGTAGGGTTGAAGGGCTCTGCCCCCAAAACAATATTTGACCTTGTCTCTGATCAGCACACGAGAGGGCTCGGGTAGAGTTGCAGCTCAGCAGTCACTGTCCGGCTGGTAGGTGGAGGGACCAGCTAGGGCGGGAACTCACTCCAGTGCAGCTACTACTAGGCTCTTCGCCTTGTCGTTTTTAGTTCTCTCAAGCCCCAGCACCATGCAGGCTTGAGCTGAGTGCCCACTTGCTCTTCTTCTTGCAGCAGACTTGGGCTACCGTAGCTTCTTTCTCAAGGCGCTCTCACCTGACCTGGACTCTGCTGGCCACAGAGGGAGGCGATCTGCACGTGCTTCCCTTTCCTTATGGCCCTGAAGACAGTCCACAGGCCTCTTTTGTTTTAAGGGCTTTGTGCCTACTCAGTACAGGAAATACTGACTAGAAAAAGGACCTTAGACTCTGAAACCTAAGTCCTGATGCATATATAGTTCCTGATTCCATGAGTATAACTGGAAACCTATTTTCTAATCCTAAAATTGAAGTCTTCCAAACCTTCTTTTAACACTACCCTGCCACAGGAGAGGACATACTCTTCCCTCCAAAGGTGTCCCCTCCCCTGGCTTAGAGATAACCAGAGTGGCACCTGCTTCTCTGTGAGGGTTCTGTGCCTCTCAAAGGATCACCAGACCATCAGGTGCCCATTTCACTGGCTCCTAAACCTCATAGTAAGGATATCCTGAGGACATTTTCTCCTGGGTGGGTATCGTAAGAGGTAAACGGAAGGCCAGGGAGGTTATGTATCCAATCTAAATCAGTGAGAAAGCCAGGATTCCAGCCAACGCTAGTTCAGCTCCTTGGTTCTCTGTTGTCTCCTTAGATCGCAGAAGCTACCTTTGTCGTGGCCAGCTACATGAACCACTGCTGCACGGCTGCAAACCCACCCAGCCCCCCACCTGCCGCCCGCCATTTGTGGGAACTGGAAGGACGACAGTTCTTTGCTCCGGTTCCACATGCTGTCAAGGGCCCGGCATTGCTGTGACTTTCTCCCACCCCACCCCTGCCACCACCCAGTGCCTCTGGAATTAGACAGGTATCCTGGGGTGTGATACTACTGTGATGGGCCTAACAGCCCCCCCACCTACCCTCACCCCTTACACTATCTGTTCTGTGAAGTGTGTATTTCAGTGTCCATGCAGCTTTTGTCCTCTATGTGCCTTATGTTTCAGAGCCCAACTTGTAAAAATCCAGACTCATTGTAAAACCAGTCTCTTTCACAGGAATACTGAGCTCTGGATGCTGCCTGATTCTAGACACAGGCTGGGACGGTCCACTGTTACTGAGGGTGTCAGTGCCATAAGTCAGAACCGTCTCCACTGATACTCTCAGGAAAGCTAGTTATTTTTATGTTATATAATATATGGTCCTTGTGTGGGGATTTATACTTGAAATTTTCTCAACATCCCTGAACAGGATAGGACTAAAATTTTTAATTCGCCTGAACTGTGACAAAAGCCTAGTAAACTCTCTAAACTGGACTTGCTTTCCCAGATGGGAAAAGTACAGAGGGCTGGATAAAAAGGAATATTCATTTTTCCCTTCCCTAGCTGTGCCTGCAGCACCCCTCCTGGGTTAGCAGCTCCCATCCTTGCAGAGCAAGGTGCTGTCCCATGGAGACAGAAGCTGTCCTCCCTCCTTCACATTGGACTGTAAGCCCAAATGGGCACCACATGCTGTCCACGAGCAAGGGCTAGGTCCAACTTGACCTCTCCCTGCCCCGTTTTAACAGCTAGACAGGGTTCAGTGAAGACTGTGCTCGCTACTGTACGACAAAGTGGTCGATATCCATTTCCCCGCCCTTTGAAATAACAAGCAGATGCACTCAGCTTTTTGCTGCTCTGTAAGGCCACCAAAGATAAATCAGAAACGAGATTCATTCAGGTTCATAGGCCTGGATTTTCTCCTCAAGACTTCTGGCAGACTTCTGCTGGGAATGTTCAAGGGCAGTGAGCACGTATGTGATACCTGTTGTAGCCTAAGGGCATCAGGTGAAAGAAAGCGAAAGCTTTTTTCACTTCCTGATGATACCAATATCCTTGTTTCATAGACTTAGACCTATCAAGTACAGATGAGATGGTCTTTGTCCCCACCCTCCCCTAACAGAAAAAAAGACGAAAGAGTTGATTCATACTCTGATTTTCCAACATCAGAGATGCTGAGTTTTATTTCATAGTTACCATGTGTCAATAAAGTGCAGAACACTGTGGGTTTAGCATTAGCAGCCCAGACCAAGCCTTTCACCCGAACAGTGAACAATGTGTGTAGCACACACTGCTAAAACTGCAAGGCTGCAATGCAACTAATCTGAACAGCCCAGCTGCTCAACCTTCCTCTCACCCTTTCAACAGACAAGCATGACGAAAAAGGCAGCACATGGTGTCTGCCTTTTTAAAATGAACTTGACTTTATAAGGCTGGCAATTTTTCAGCCATTTCTGCTCCTTCCTGTTGCCCCAGAATTTGGATCTAGCTCAGACATTTCTACCTCAAACAAGTTACATGTACTTCAGGCTCCTGGGCAACCCCTCTGGAACTGATGTAAAAGACAAGGATTACAGATCTGATTTTATAACATCTTGAGTGTTTCAAAGACAATGAGTATAATACCTACCCTGGAGTTAAAAAATAATTAGATTCCAAAGAAAAAGCAAGCAAAAACGGAGCTGTGTTCATACTGAATTTGGGGGTCAAGCTATTTTCCCCACCTGCTTTCCTTTCCAAATCCTGCAGGAATCCTCCCTTAGTTCATTAATTCTATACAGAAGAAACTGCCTTATGAACAAAGGCTTTTATAGCTTGCGTGTTTGCATGATTTTTAACATGACTGGAAAACAAAGTCAAATTTCTTTCTTTTGACTTATCTCTCTTGGCACAAGAATCGTTTGAAACTATTGACAATGCTGAGTAACAGAAGAGTATTAATGTGCTTGACACCCACAACTGAAATGCCATGATCATGTCTGTCAATAAAAAGCAGCTGTCTGTGAACCAGGCAATTATTGTGTATGCTTTGGAAGGAGATCTGTTTATTAAGATAGTCATCATAAATTAACCCTGTACACAACCAGGAACTAGGTGGACAGAGACTAGTCTTTTGTAAGACATTTCTTCCTGCTAACCAGTACCTGAGGGCCTGACTTTTTTTTTTCTTCACTTGTATATAGGAGTATGCAGTTGGAAATGATAACTTTCTCAGGGGAGCTGATGTCAGTTTCCCATGTCTTGTTTCACAAATTTCAACAAATAGTAAACTTAAATGTGCTTAGGAATTTCACAAAGTGCTCTTCGTCAGCAGTACTTCTGACATCATTTCTTAAGATCTCCCCTCAGTTGGTAAAGTAGGCAAAACCTTACAAGGGGAACACTCAAATACACATAAATCCTTTGCTCAACATCACACAATGAGTTAGGTTTCCAGTCACGCTCTATAGCTCTTCGATTCACTGCATCCATACTGGTTTCTAGGACTGTGTCCAGCTCGTGGTCTAGAATACAGAAAATAACCAGCCACTATGGCTTAGGAATCATCTCCCATGGAAGACAATACTGGCCTTCTGTATGCTGGGACTCAGGGGCTTGTTGATGTGGCTTTCTGGTGTGCCAGGATCTCCTGGCAGCTCCTGTACACTTCAGTCAAGCAGTCCAGCCGGGGCTTGGCACTCTGAATTCCAAAGGGGAGAAATGCAGAGTCAAGATGAACGTAAGAGAGTGCTTAGTGGTGCTGCGTCCACGTGCAACCTCAATCTCACCCACAGCAAGGGGTTTAAGTGGCACAGGTGTGAGCTCAGAGGGGCAGGAAGTTCAGGCCTCAGAGCACCTTCTTAGGAGTTCCAAACTAGGCCCACAGGCCACCCTGTACATTCTGAAGCAGGAGCTCAGAAGACAGTTTTTTAATCTTGTCAAAATGTCATGGTCTCCAAGATGTGGTTTATATACACAATGGAATACTACTCAGCAATCAAAAAAGATATGCCATTCTCAGCAATATGGATGGAGCTGGAAGGGATTATGCTCAGTGAAATAAGTCAGAAGGAAAAAGAAAAATATTAGATGGTTTCACTTATAGGAGGAACATATGGAAACCATACAAGGGATCAGGGGGAAAAAAAAAGACAAAACTAATAGGCATTCTCTAAATTAGAGACCTTCATTAGGGGAAGGGGAGGGAAAGTGGTCAAAATGGGAGGGAAGAGCAAAAGAGTCTTTGGTGATGCTTCACGGGTGTCTTGGTGGTGGTGATCTTATGGAGCCAACATTCGAGAGGAGAAATCAAACACAGTACAAAAATGAACGACATGTAAGAAATCTCCATCTAAGAGCAAGCACAAGGTATAACAAGGACAGACCCTCTCAGAAAGTATCACAAGCTATGGAACAGTCCCAGAAACAAGAAGGGCAGTTTAATATGCAAATTTAGAAAATCATTAAACAGTGACATGTAATACAACTAAAAGTAAAAGAAAAGCCACAGAATAGGAAAAATATATGTGGAAAGCATATTTAATAAAAGACCATTACCCAAAATATGTGAATTGTTACAAACGCACAATCAGTATCTAAACTCTATGAGTAGACAAAGGAGACCGATCATTTAAAACAAGCAATATTGGCAGGTAACAGAAGGAAATATGAAAAGTATTATTTAAAGAGATACAAATTTAACTTTAAAATGCCTTTACCTACATATTAAACTCTAACGGAGCTAATTCTGTTAGCCAAGACTGTAAAAAAAAAAAAATACAAATTCTCAAAAGTTGTCCAATCTCAGTAGTCAAATCTCAAACACTGTGAAAAAAATCTACAAAACTATTCATAAGTTTTCATAAAATAATTATGAATTATGAAAAAAAATTGTTTTATCTTAGCTGCTGCTATTTTTAACCCTTTGTGAAAAAAGAAAGGCAGTGATGGAGTATTAACTGCATATGGTCTTTTCTTCCTATGAAGAAATTTATTAATTTCTGTGTTTTTTTCATAAGAGATCAAAACAAAAAAAAACCTGGACATGATTTATAGTTGTATCTGATACTCAATGTGATATAGTTAAAGCAGATTCATAAAAACATACATGTTAGATTTTAAAAGCAATACACAAAATAATGTATAGCAGTTCTGTGTAGATCAGTAACATCCATGTAAAATCATACAATGGAGGACTGATAGTAAAAATAGACGAATGCTGATTTAAAGGCGCAAGTTGTTACATATTTGATTTTTTTCCCTCTAAACTTTGTATGAATTCATATTTCTGAAAACTTATCTGCCTCAGAAAGGAACTTCTAAAATAACTCTTTATTCTCACTAAAAATAGTTGTTAGGTATCCTTGAATAATCTTGACAATAAAAGTTTACATTCCTACTGAAAATAAGTAGCAATGTATATGCGGATAGGAGAGGAAAGGTACAGGATTTCTTTGAAGAAACCTAAGTGTTGTGTGCTCACCTGGAAGACAGGTACTACTTGGGATATTCCGTGTGGTTCCATCGGATCCTTCAATAATATGCAGAGGTAGTAAATCACCTTTTGCTGTAAGAAAATAAGTCAAAGAACGGAAATTAAGTGAAACTCCTTTTGTTTTCTTTTTCTCCAAACTTGCTCACAAACGGTTAAGTAATAAACCACTTGGTAAGCTTTTGAAATGAGGAAAAAATATAGATTCTTATCCTTTAAATAAAAATAAAACAACCAAAGATTATTTTGAAGCTGAGCTACAAAATAAAGCTGAAATACAATCCATCAAGTTCACCTCTAGTTGACTACCCCAAGAATACAAAAACACTAACTCAAAGGGGTATACGACAATAGCAAAGCTATGTAAAAACCTTAAGTGCCCAAAGACAGATAAGCAGATCAGGAAGATGTGGTGTATTAAAGAATGGACTACTACTCAGCTATTAAAAAAAAAAAAAAAAAAATCTTGCCACTTGTGACAACATGGACAGAACTGGAAGAGATTATACTAAGCAAAGTAATTCAGGAGAAAGACAAATACTGGATGATGTCACTTTTATGTAGAATGTGGACTAAGAAACCAAAGGGTCAGATAAAGCCAAACCAGTAACAAACCCTAGAAATCCAACTGTAGAACTGAGGCTACCAGAAGAGGTTGGGGAAGAGAGACCACAGTGAGGAGGGAGCACAATGGACTATATTGGAGAACCTTGGATGCCTTGGTAGTGGACATGGCTGGTGATACACACCTGAAGAAGTGTAATCCTATACCTCTGAATCACACATAGTGCTGTAAAACAGTATTACTTCAATAAAATAAAATGTTGTTTTTAAAGAAAAACTGGAATGCTGATTTCCTACCCATGAAAATCTACTGTGTCTCATTCAAAATAAAGGGATGTGTCTTCAAAGTTTCATTTATATGGTTTGCAGATATGCCAGTGAAAAGGGAAACACCAGAAGTACTAGAACAGTCTTTAAGTTTAATTCTGTAACATCAAATACTAAAGTTTTATTAAGAGTTTATATCCAAACACACAGAGAGCTGCCTGCTCCAGAGAGGTCTACATTGCTTACCAACTAAATACTTACCATGTAAATAGCCTCATTAATGACGATATCCTTCACTTTGCTCATCTCAATGAAGGTGGTACTTTCTTTGCCTGATGAATAGGAAGAAGTCATCTGGATGCCAAGGGAATCAATGATTAACAGAGTCTCTTGATCAATCTTCACAAAATGGAGGTAGCCAAGCAGGCCTAAGAGAGTGATGAAGATGGCAGCAGAGAGTATCATGCTGTTCTGAAGAGAGAGCCAGACACAGGCAGTAAGATTACCAAGTGGTCCTTGGCATCTATGTACTGTTTAGTAAGTTAACTATGGCAATGTGGGAAAAAGCCTTTTTTGTTGTACTCTCAGTTGAGCAGCTGGGAGGTACATGCATGGAGAAAGAGGAGATCCCTTTTGTTTGGGCTCTATTGTGCTATAAGAGCAGAGAGCAATGGATTGGTCTGGGGAGGAGGATCTCCATCAGCAAACTACCCATCACCAGTCTCAAATGTTTCTTCCAAAATTACAACTGAAGGACAGACCATTATCTCCCATGCTCCCTCGCGAGAACATATAGTGCAAAATCATAGATCAAACAATTATAAAGTGCTAAACACAATATAGCATAAACGACTCTATCCTTCCAGGGAGCATGTACTATTACTAGGAAGCAGGAGAGTTTGGCATGAATCATGACTGTCCCCGCTCCTAGAGTGACTAGTTTAGAAATGGGCACAGGAAACAACTGTGGCCAATGACACAGGAAAGGCGATCTCCTGGAGAGACTTCTAGAAAACATAAGTCCATTTTAAAAAGAGATGTAAGGGGGACTCCCTGGTGGCACAGGGGTTAAAGACACCGTGCTATTAAGCTATCACCAGCCACAGCAGCACGATTTCGATCCCTGGCCGGCACCTCTGGCCTACACCCCAGTTCTTGTATGCATAAATAAATAAATCTTTAAAAATAAATAAAAAAATGTGAGGAAGAGATGGTCCTTTCATCCTGAGGTTTTGATGTCTGCAACTATTAAGGCCTCTGCCAGTCCATGTGGAAGGCTAGATTGAGGACAAGTAGAGGATTCCAAGGGTGGAAGAGCAGCAAGAGGAAAAGAACCAAAGTCAAATGAGCTTCTAGATCCCTCTGGAATCTTCCTACCTCCTGACTTCTCGTTTTGTTAAATAATAAAGACCCTATAATTTAGGAGCTCTTTTGTTGTTTTTGGGTTGTGACTGATATGTTAAGGACTCAGAAAAATGGTAGCTATTTATGGCTGTGATTTCTAAGACACATAAGCTTTTAATAGTTCTCAGGTTGAAAGTGGTTTTATTGATGTTTCTTCCATGTTTTTTCTTTATTTCCAAAAAGCAATTACTAAGAAGGATATGTTAAAAGCAAGACAACAGGGCCTCCCCTGGTGGCACAGTGGTTGAGCGCGGGGCTGCGAAGCTGCCCACAGCCTCCGCAGAGCCGGTTCAATCTCCAGCTACCAGCGAGGGTCCCACATGGCGTGCAGACCTCTCTTGCCGCCCACTGCTCCCCTCAGCAGTGTATTTTGTTTGTCTGCCTGTTCTGTTCCTTGCTCTGGCTCTGGTGAATTCTCTCACCCACTCTCGCTTCTGACTGTACCCAGTGCTTGTATAGAAAAAAAAAAGAGACAACAGGCCCAAAATGGAGTCACCTAGGCTAAGCCCACATCGCTAGACTTTATTACAATTTTGGTCTCCCCCCAAAATGGAATCTTGTAATCACCTGGTCAGCACTAGTTAGGATTACTACTTGAATTTTATCATACTTTCTTTTTCTATCTAAAATTCTAGCAATTCATTTTTTGTTTAAGTTACGCTACATGTTTGAATGAATTCCTTCATAAGATTTCTCATTCTTACTCAGTCATTACTTTAATGAATAGTTCTTAATAAGAGAAAAGGTAAGAAACTGTGGTATACATAGCCCTGAAGTGTTGCCATGGTATTTAAAGACAGATAAGATCACTGAGTCCTAAGCACTTGTTGGGTGTACACCAAGATGAGGTACAAAAAGGAGCTGGCATAAAAACAAACTTCTTAAAAATTTTGCTTAAGCCAACCCTTTCCAAGGAGGATACATTAAAATATGGTAGTTTCAGCATCAGCAGTGGGTTTGAAGCCCAGGTATGGCCACTTACTAGCGCTATGATTACTCTTTGTTACAAAATAAATTATTACTCCTTCTTGGCTTTTTATTACTTCTAAGGTTGAGTGAGACATTTAGTAAAGTCTGGCACTTGGTTGGCATGTAATAAATATGTTTCTCCTCCTTACATGGCCATATGGCCAGAACGCAAGCTAGTTTTAAAAGTCAAATATATATTAAATCTGAAGGAGGGCAGAGGAAAAAGGACTGTCCTGGCAACTTACTCATTATTTCAACAACCTTAGGATACAATTTGGTATAAATAAGAGCAGTTTTAATTTAGCGCATACCTATGCTAAATGACCTTGCTCTGAAATATGCTCTGATGGCCAGGAAAAAAAAAAAGCTAATGGATGTTAATGGAAACAATAACTTAAATATACAGCACTGCTGTACTTAGCTCTGTTCAGATCACTCTTGGAATCAACATTCAAGTCACAGCACTGCATTATGAAACTAGAACTGATCCTGAAAACAGCAAAAGGATAATTCCTTTTGATAATTGTCACAAAGCTACTGTACGTTACCCTCACCGAGGATTTAGTATGGCAGATATCCCCTTTTAGAAATGTGAAAACTAAGTCTCAGAGAACATAGAAATGATCTGGAAATTGAACCTAGAAATCACCCATTTCAGAAATCTCATAATTATTTAGGAAGTCCTAAAATCAGGAGAGGGGTTTGAAGGGGTGTTAGATTGCTTTGAAAAATAGATTAGGAAGAACTATAAAAGCTGCTATCATGCTTTTAAGTAATGTGTGTGTGTGTAAACACACATGCCACACACATTATGGAGGCAAACAGTTTTTGAAGACTATAAAGATTGTTAGTAGCGATACTTCTGAGTGAAAATGATAAATGAGGACGATCACTTAACAGGTCTCTGAACCCTTGGAATTAAACTACTATGACCGTGTACTACACAGAGCACTGGAAGCTAAAGTTTTCGGCTGCCGTGCAAGGGCAGGATGGATGCCGGGTGGAACCACGATGCAGAGCAGTGTGACCTGGAAGAGGGATGAGACACTGGAGTGCAGAATTCAGTAAACGGCATGAGAAGCGCTGTCCAGCAGCAGAATGGCCTCCCCAGAACCAGCGCCTCGCCGCTCTCCAGTCCAATGACGGGAGGAGGGTCTGTGGAGAGCCGACTTCCACCCCAACACCCTAAAGACCCTTCCACCCCCCAGGACCCAATTCCGCCCGCGGGAAGGGGCCGACCGGCCATTACCTCGCAGAGGGTGAAGAGCCCGTAGGCCACTAGCCACACGGTGCAGGTGACAGTGGTGAGCGATCGCAGCGAGAGCCGGGGGCAGCTGAGGCAGAACTCCCGACAGGAGGGGGAGTAGTAGCGGCGCTGCAGGGTCAGGCGGCCGCCACAGATATCCAAGAAGCTCTGCTCGTCCTCCATGGCCGGCTCGCCCCCATCCGGCCGGGCCGCGTCGCTCTAGCCCGCCCGCCGCGTCCTCTCGCCGGCTCCGCACCGACTTCCGGAAAAAGGTGCGGGCCCCGCCCCCGCCCGCGCCGCGCAGGCGCAGTCGCCGCTCCCCGCCGCCGGCTGTGGCGCAATCCTGGTGAAGCTTCCCGCGCCCGGCCTCGGCCGAGGTGCAGTGACTGTCTGCTGCGGGGATTCGTAGGGGTCCAGCAGCTCAGCGGACACGTTGAAATGTGCTTTCGCTCCACAGAGTGATTTTTATTTCTAAACCAGAGTGCACCCCAAGGAGACAGTCCACAGGTACTCGTTCATCCACCCCTTCCTCCATCCATCCATCCTGCGCTAGTTAGGGTTAGATGCTGAGGATGCCGGAGTTAACACCGATAAGGCACCTTCCTCCAGACAGCGGTCTTCCTGCTAGGAGAAACTGGAAATAGTTGCAGAGAAATCCGTGGCTAGCCTAACTTAGCTTGGGGATTTTCTTTTCTTTTTTTTTTTTTTTAAGATTTATGTATTTATTTATACAAGCACTGGGTACAGTCAGACGCACGGGAGGGTGAGAGAATTCGCCAGAGCGGGGAACAGAAACAGGCAGACTGATGAAGAAATACACTGCTGAGGGGAGCAGCGGGCGGCAGGAGAGGTCTGCGCACCATGTGGGACCCTAGCAGGTGGCCGGGGATCGAACTGGCGCTGCAGAGGCTGAGGGCAGCTTCGCAGCCCAGCGCTCAACCGCTGCGCCACCAGGGGAGGCCCTAGCTTGGGGATTTTCAATAGGGCCGCAGGATAATCTCTTTGAGGTAAGATGCTAGAGCTGCAGGATGAGCCTGACTCGTCGGGGGAGCGCTGCAGCAGGAATTTGCCTGGAAGGACCACCTGAAACCTGGGCTGGCTTATTAGAGGAATCAAGAGATGTGAGAGGCTGACGCCTGGGGAATGTGATTTAGAGTTGGGGAGGCACGTAGATGAGGTCCAGGAGGGTTTTGTAAGGCCTGGTTAACGAGTTTAAATTTCTCTGCCTGGGAGTTCTGTCTCCCAAACTTCTGCGTGGAGCATTGAGGAGGCAGGCAAGTCTGGTTGGAAGGTAAGAAAGAGTGGAAGGTGCAGAATTATGCGTAATAAAATTACTGAACTCATGAGTAATAGCAACCTGTGGGTTCCCTTTTTTTCCCTTTAAGTGTGGCCCAAGAGTGGCCGTGTGGTCTGTTAAAAGAGTTATGATGGTTGGGCCTTGAGGCCGTATCACATATTAAAGAATCTATTTGTGGATAATGATAAATGGCAGAAAGGTCTCACCTGCTTTAAGCTTCTAATGAAAGGTTCAATTTCTCTTTCTAGTATTTTGTCTCCATTTTCCCCTTTTTTCCCCTAAAGAATTTTCTTGAAGTATTACTTTTTCAATTTTATTTCTATGCCCTGAATCTTACCAAACAATACATCCCTCTGACTTGTAAATATCATATTTTTTATAATTTTACATATTTCCTTACTGTGGAAATTTTGAAAAATTTAAACCACTCATATTTCAACGACTCAAGATAAACACTATATTTTGGGGAAACCTATGGTGTTCTTAATGTGGACTCAATGGATGAAATCCATTTCATCCTTACTTCCATTTACTTCTACTTAAAATGCAACATTTCTTTTGATTATGAATGTAGCCAATAAACCAGTTAGTATTACCATCTGTAGAAATCACAGTTGTTTTCATTTCATAATGTTATCTTTTATATATTAAATTATTAGGGATAAATAGTATGCGAGTAACTGCTTTACTGTATTAGATCGTGATATCATCTGCACTCTATTATATAATTTGGCACTACACTAGAAATTGAAACTTAGGTATTTGTCATTTACCTAGATGCCAGCTATGATACAGCTGACCCTGTAAAAAAAGCAAAGAATGATTCTTTTGACTGTCAGTGTTGGACTTTAAATTATTCAAGTAGAATATATCAACAAGTAAAAGCTGTTGGAATATACCCACCTCAAAAGTTCAGTGGAATATATCATCAAGTAAGAGCAGCTGATAAAAACTTAGACTTCTAGGACTTAAAGAACTCAGTTTCAGTGTCTTAACACAATGTTTCTTTCTTGATTGTTAGTAGTTCCACTTGGATGCTTCTGTTCAGATGACAAAAGTTTTGCCAAACCCATGAATTTCCTTATAACTCTCCCCAGTGCATCTTGTGCATATAACCAACAGATGAAGGATCACACATGGAAGGGATTTATGACCAAGGCTTCTACCCATATTCCATTAGCCATAACTCATTAACATGGTTTTACCTGACTTCAAAAGAGCCTGGGCAACACCATCTATCAACATACCCAACAGGAAAAGAGAAGTAGTTGGTGAACAAGTAGCCACTGTGATCCACTGTCTATATATATTTTTTTAAGATTTATTTATGCATAGAAGAATTGGGGTGTAGGCCAGAGGTGCAGGGAGTCAGAGGATTCACCAGAAACGGAGTGGGGAGCAGAACAGGCGGATCTACTGAAATGCTAAAGGGAGCAGCAGGCAAGACAGGAGTGGTCTGTTGTGCCATGTGGGTACTGGCTAGGGATTGAACTCATGCTGCAGTGGCTGCTAATAACTTCCATAGTGCTGAGACTTAACCCCTTGTGTCACCAGGGAGGCCTATATAACTTTTTCAATGGTAACTGTAGTATTACATTATGACTGTTACCTATGTATATGTTTTATTTATATATATATATACATATATATATTTTATATAAATTTTAGAAAAAATTCAGTCCTCCTCTTGTTTCTTCTTTACTCTCATACTGCTACTCACTTCTAACAAATGTGGGTTTTTTCCTACACCAAGCAATTCTCTCTGACACCAGCTGGTGTCAGTTTAAATCACTTTAACTCAGTTCTGTCAGGTGGAACATCTCTAGGTTGATAGTGTCAGATTACACAGGTTAAGGGTTTATTAGTCCCACAAAACTGTTCCCCACTTCTAGAACCACTCAAAAGTAGTTGTTCCCTAGGTTACCCAACAAGTCGGTACTTAGCTACAAATGAGAGGTTTCTGTGATCTTGGACTCAGTTATTCAGCTAGAACACTTCACAGCGGTTAGGGAAATATTTAAGTTTTCTAGTTTATTATACAATAAAAGATACAGATGAGTAGATATGTAGAGTGAGGTCTGAGGGCCAGAAGCACAGGTGCTTCTGTGCCTTTGGAGTTGGGGTACATGGATGTGTTCACACATCTTCCTGCTACACGGATGTGTTCACCAACCTGGAGACTCTCCAGCCCCTGTACTATGGGGATATTTTATGGAAATTTCATCATGTAGGTACAATCGATCAGCAACTCCATTTCCTGTCCCTCTACCATCTCTGAAGAATGGTGGCAGGGGTGGGGGGTTGTTCAGGAATTCCAGTCTTGTAATCCTGACTTAGTCTTTTTGGTGACTGGCCCCCATGCAGCGGTCCACCAAGAGTCACCTCATTAAAACAGAAGACCTTGCTGTCATCCCAGAAAAGTCCAAGGGATTTAGGAACTCTGTCAGGAGCCAGGGTCAGAGAGCAAATATTAGAACAAAAGATGCTCCAAGTGCTGTTATCACTTAGGAAATTACAAGGACTTTTAATAACTCTGTTAGGAACCCAGGACAAATACCAATCTAGTTTTTCCTATTAGCTACAACAGTGTATCACAGTCTGCTGGTATCAGCATTTTATCAATTCGAGTGAAGCATAGAAACCTTTCCTCCCTTTATGTACTTTTCTCCTTTCCCGTTTATAATTATCTTTAACATTTCCTCTATATTCATTAAGAACCACATCAGACGGTAGCATATGTAGGGGCTGGAATGGATCCAGTGCAGGTTTTCTGATCCAGCAGACCGGGTAAAGGAGGAGTCAGAGTCCTCAGTGGCTTTTTGCAGGTCTTTTATTGGGATTTACCCAGCACATGGCAGGCAGGGGTGCTGGGGGGCCGGGAGGCTGGTAGGCCTCCCAGCCCCCAGCAAGTCTGCACTCTATCTGGGTTCTCTGGCCTTCTCTGCTTCTTTCTCGGCTTCTACTTTGGCTTCTACTTCGGCTTCTTCTCCGGCTTCTCGCGTCCCCGTGACACCGCCCCCTAAAAGCACAGTCTTAGCCCAGATGAATCCCATCCACCCGCCCACACCCCACTCCAGGCGCCCGCCACAAGGCACACATTCAGGACCGCAAGGATCCACCATCCATCCCGATGGCGGGAGGGCAGAAAAGCCTGACACCTCTCCTCACCCCACAGTCCACCCCCTCAGGGTTTTCTGCCATATTGTCTTCATATATACAGTTTTCTTATCAAACATAAACAATGCAGCCATGGCCCACAAAAGCAAATATATCACAATATAACAACAAAATACAACAGAACACAAATAAGTCCAGGCAGGGCCCCAACCTAGTGGCGAAAGACAATTATTGATACCAACAGATGATCCACCACTTCTGCTGCTGAAGGCACTGCTCATACGAGGGAGGGGAACCACTCACGGCATCTACTGTAACACGCTAGGAGCTGTCAGGCTTCCTGGCCTTCTCTGGCTGTCGTCTCGGCTACAAGCCACACACAGCATCCACCCACAGGATGCACTGACTCTGGGATTGGCGATTCTATTCTGTTGGGGGTAATCGCCAACCCTCAGGGTTTCTGTCTGCAGTCTCTCCAACATTCGGCCTTCATGGCCACCCATGCGACTCTAAGAACCCCTGCACTCAGGCCAACCCACTGCACAAGCACATGGGTCGGGGATCCAAACTCTACATTTGGCTTGGGCTCCACCCCAAGCCACGTTCCCCACCTGTCCCACAAGGACGGCTTCCTCAGCTCCTCACCCTCACTCAAGAATGAGCAGAGCATCACCCACAGGTGATTTTATGAGACTCAGTGGTCTTCAGCATACTCAGGCTGCTTAACAGCCACTCAAGGCTTCTCAGCTTAGCATTAGCACCAGCTTTTGCCGTCTCAGCTTTTCTCCTCTGCCTGGCTGCTGGGCATGCGCAGGCTGCTTTTGGCCATCAAGGCCCACTGGCCACCCCCAGATTCCCATCTCCTGGGGTTTACAAACAAAACTGTTCCACCCCCAGGGTCCCAAAACATATCAGCCTGCAAGGTCCTCCACCTTCTGGCAGGATTGTCAGTCCAAGTTCATCAGTCCATGTCCATCAGTCGAAATCCGTTGGCCTCTCCCTACATCAGCACTGGTGAGCTCTGAATCGTGGTCCTCTCCTCCCCGATGATTCTGCTGCCTCAGGGGTCGTTGGCTGGTCCTTTCAGGTGTTT